AAAAAATATAATTAAAATCTTAATCTTCCTACATTTTGATTTATTTATTATATCTTACTAGATTCTTAACAAGTGTTACGCTTACTTCAAATAAATAAAATGTTTTTCCTCTTTAATATTATCATAATATAATACTTCCATATTGTAAGTGCTATTCAGTATGTTAGTTTTTCACGATTAAGTTACTAAACAGCATTCCCAGTACAAGTTTACATTATACTACATACGCAGCGTTTACTGTTTCTCATTCTAAAATACTTTGATACTGCACGTGAGGAGTTACGAATGAAAATCTCTGTATGTTATTACAAATCAGACTTGTGGTAAGATCATAGGCTATTAATTTTTTTTTTTATAAATGGTCGTCACCAGCCTATCAGAGCCCACTGCTGAATAAAGGCCTCTTTCTCACATGGAGAAGGTTTGAGCATTAATCACCACGCTTGCTCAAGACGAGTTGGTGATTTCAAACTTATAATTTGATATAAGTCCATGTTTCCTCACGATGTTTTCCTTCATCAGTCAGTGATGTCTAAATACTCTTATAAAGTACATATGACTCGGAAAAATCACATTGGTACTTGTCAGGATCGAACCCGCGCCCTCATGCACGAGAGGCGAGCCCTTTAACCACTAGGCCACCACTGACTTTGTTATAAATAATCAATATTTATTTTTTGTTACATAATTATATAATAACTAGTATTTGCCCGCGACTTCGTCCGCGTTAGTTTGGTCAAGAGTAATATATGTAGATATAGCTGACCAGGCGAACTCTATTCCGTCTTAGAGGCCATAAATAATCAGGTTTTTCCTGTTTCAATCAACCAGAATGATTGACATATTAGTTAGTTGTGAAATCTAATGTCAAAAAAACGTTTGTATGGGAAATAGAAAAGGACTGTTTTTAGGGTTTTCCCGGCAATTATTCCAATTTTTCTCACCTTTTAAACCTTCCCTGGACTTCCAGGAGTATTTCAAGAATAAAATTAGCCAAATCGGTTCAGCCGTTCTCGAGTTTTAATGAGACTAAGGAACAGCAATCCATTTTTATATATATAGAAGATAATAAAATAATAATATTTATTTGCTCTGAATGTAGGTACAGAATATAGGTGTATAAAATAGATTTTAGTATAGTAATATTAAATAATTTAAATAGCAGACGAAGCCGCGTGAAATGTCTTGTTATAAAACAACAAACACACAAACAGAATCACTAAGTTGTTTATATAATTGAGTTCAAATTTCACTTACAATATTCAGTTACGTAGTTTTGTAACATGATACGACAAACTCGGAAATTGCTTTAGGCTTGTGATCCGGGGTTATGCTGTGCTATTAATTTTATTAGCTTGCACACTATGTATGTATGTATGTTACCAAAAAACCAAAAACCAATATGTGAAATTTTATCTATCTTTTGCCTGTAAATAAAACATCTATAAGAAAGTCGTGTTAGTTACACTATTTATAACTCAAGAACGGCTGTACGGATATGGATGAACAATAGTGGAGAGATAGATTAGAACATAGAAAGGATTCTTTTCAGGATTAGGATTCTATTCATACAATTGAAAAAAAAAACTAAGTTAATCAAACCCAAAATCTTCTTATCTACTGTCTTTAAAGAATAGTATTCTCCCGGTCAGCTATGCTTTACTGATTCTGAAACTACCGAAGTCACAGGCAGAAACTAGTTTATTAAAATTTAAATCTTACAGGGCGAAGTATAAGAAAGTATCTCAAAATGTATAATTTTAAATTCACTATTATTACAAATTTATTAATATCTATGTTAATCATACAAAAACTCATAAACAAATTCAAAAATTAGCAGCGTTATATCGCATAGCTTGTAGTGGAACATGAAGTCTAGGTGCTTGTGTATTGCACCCACGCAACTGTTGTAATATACAAATATATCCATAATTTTATTATTTCACATATTTTTATATAAAAAATAATGAAATTAGTAAAATTATCACATTATTTCAATTCCCTAATTAGATTTTTTTATTGTTCGAGCACCTTCTCTTGCCATCTATGCTCGCGAATTTGGACGTACTTAGTAGTTTTATTTTCATCAAAATCGGTCCATCTTTTTCAGAGATTAGTCACAATAAACCGACAGAGCATATCCTCTTTGTGCGTTATAACTTTTTGCATTGACTATAAGACTGTTTCAATGAAACAAAGGAACTACAAATTTATTTATAAGCTATACTGCACACAAGAAAATCAACACACACTCTTTCCCTACTTTACAAGTAATAAAGAGCAGTTATGTTTTAAATCATGTCCATATATAGAAATACTAACTTTCCGCCCGCAGCTTCGCCCGCGTGGAGTTCGGTTATATCGCGTTTCCAAGAGAATCTTTCAAAAGTCTGGGATAAAAACTATCCTATGTTGTTTCTCAAGGTCAACTCTATCTCTGTACCAAATTTGTTTAAAATCAGTTCAGTGGTTTAGACGTGAAAGCGTAACAGACAGACAGGCAGACAGAGTTACTTTCGCATTTATAATATTAGTAGGGATATATATTTCTTAAATTATGGAATATTATTCAAGATTTTCTAGACTAATACAATTTAAATTAAACTACTTAATATTTTTCTGATAAATTACGCGTGCTTTAATATTGTATTAAACTGCATACTCCCGACGTTTCGGTTACTTTTCAGCAACCAAAGTTTTTTACATAAATATATAGCAGGCTTATAATTCGAAAAATATTAGTTTAAATTAAATGAATATAAATCGCGAATCTAAGATCTCATTATACTGATTACCACAAGTTTGTGTTACACTAAAAACAGTGTTAACAATATTTCAGTCGTAAATCCTCACGTACAGTATAAATGTATTATTGAATGAGAAACGGGAAACGCGTCTTATGTAGTGTAATGATTACTACATAGTAGTACCTGACAATTTCCCAGCTTTAGCCAGGATCTGCCTTACATGTTGTGAATAGTTTTGGCTAATTGTTTTTACGAAGCCACCTGCCTGACATCAACCCTCTTTGGGAATGCATTAATCAGTGATGTCTAAATAATCTTAGAAAGTACATATGACTCGGAAAAATCACTATGGTACTTGCCAGCAAATTTATGTATATACACAAATGTATGTCTGTCCATATAAGCATAGTTTTAAACACAACTCATGTACGATCATAACTCAACATGATTTAAATGAAACGTGAATCAAATACTAGTGTGGACTCCAGGCTCCGCTTGACACTTCAGTAGAATAAAGGATTTGTATATCCCAAGATAATAGTAAAGTATGCTAAGATATTCATAAACTCATTTGAGAAATTGTTAACGCGTAATTTGTAGTGACTATGCAAAACTTGTGGTAAGAGAATTATTATAGAAAACTAGTTTTTGTCCTCGACTTGGTCCGCGTTAATTTCGTCATTAGTAATATATGTATAGCTGATCGGACGAACTCTATTCTGCTCTAAATTTTGTAGTTTAATTTTAATATTTAATATTATTTGTTTCGATCGAACAGTATTAAATATCCTATGTCCGTCTCCTTGTTCTAATCTATCTCTCCACCAATGTTCATCCATATCCGTACAGTTGTTCTTGAGTTATATATAGTGTAACTAACACGACTTTTTTATATATATAAAGATAAGACAGACGAAATATTCAAGTCAATTATGTATAACAAAACTATTTGACCCTTCAATATGATTTTGTAATGACATTATTATAACGAAAATTTATAAGAATACATGACTATACGGATGTTTTTTGCTCTAATACACAATAATTACTTAATCGATTTTGATAAAACTCAATAATAGAATAGCTTGAACATCTGAATGAGATATGGGCATCAAGTTAATCCGGAATTCTAGCTAGTTCTATCAAGATCACATTTTGTAACTTACATGAACTCTCCTGATTCTAAATATAGATCTCGCTACCAGTAGGTTAACTTCTCTATGTATCTAATTCCGGAATTAATTCGGACAAAGTCGCGGGTAAATATTAGTTCATTTTAAAGTTTTTTCTACCCTGCCCATACATAGTTTTTAGACCTAACAACCCCGTGTAGAAGCGGTAGTATGGTAGTATGGTACTATTCTAGGTGGAGTATGAATGTAACACATATTTACCCCGGGGTAACTACAGACTGAGTGCTCTAAAGTACCCCCGCCGATCTATTACTCCGCATAAATGAATTGCCTTTGAGCGCGGGGTAAAATTGACTAATAGCTTGAGGGCTTTCCAGGCTCTTAAAGTCTGCTCTTATACTGAGAGACTCGTTTATTAATATGTCTTAAAATTAAACGAGAAGTATATTTATTAACATCGATATGCTTGTATTTTGGTTATCTGTTTAATAGAAATCTATTATATTAAATAAATTGTAAACTTAATGGCTTTAGTAATATATATATGTAATTGTAGTGTACGTGTGTATGTCACTGAACTTCTAAACGGCTGGACCGATTTGAATGATATTTTTGTATATATGTGACGCCCTATATGGTTTTGATTTACAAATCAGCTCAGCAGATGGCGCTGTAGTCTGTATCTAAGATTTTTTGAATGAAAAGACTGAATTAAAAATATCGTTAATCAAAATATCTATATATTTCAAAATTTTTAGTAGACGCAAACGAAGTCCCGGACAAATATATATATACGTAATCTGTTTAGGGAAAAAAATATGAAGTTTTATGAAAATTCCGGAATTTTTTTTTGAAAAATTTCTAAATATTTTATATTAAATTTATTTTTGCTTAAACTATAAACATTCTAGAAACTTTTATCACCACGCTTGTGAACCTAGGACTTCGATAATAAAGCATTAAATCGTACATAGTTACATTTGAGCTATAGTGTCATTGTTATTTATTAAATTACATTTGGAGTTGTATAGTATGAAATTCAGAATTAAATTCATAATCATATTTAAATTATATTAAAATTATAAGTAGAAGGTAAATTGAGTTTTTCTTTTCTTTTCAGAGATCTTCAAGGCAACAATATAAGCATCATCTTCCAAAGTGATTTCCAGAACCTGAAAGAACTAAAGATTTTGTAAGTATAATGACATCTAAGACTATTTTTATATTATTCATTTAAATAAAACTAATATTTTCACATTACTATGCCTTTTTTATTATTTTGAACTCATATTTGACTCATAACAAGACCAACTGACAGACATTCACATCTTGTTTTAATGATCACGGTTGCTGCAAAGTAAAAAATATCGGGAGTATGTAGTTTGAGATAATAAAATACGCATAATAATCCAAAAATATTAGTTCTTATGTAAATATTGTTAAAAATATTAAACATTCAAAAAGTAATTTTGAAATAAATACCATAAATTTAAATGATAAATTTGTGTCTAATTATCAAAATGTAAGCAATACATTGCTCGCGTTACCTTTGTCAGGTAAATAAGTTTTTTGTTTCAGACAATTATCAGAGAACCAAATTCACACTATAGAGAGAGATGCGTTCTTGGAGCTTAACGTACTGGAGAGATTGTAAGTAAAGCTAGTTTACCCCCGGGTAAGACCTAACATGTGCCAGCGTCTCAACCGTTACCCGCGCGGTAACATGTAGTGTAGTCATTTTTGTTTTACAGGAAACTGAGCAATAATCGACTCGGCCACATACCTGATGGTATTTTTCTGAGATTGAGGCATCTACAACGTTTGTGAGTAGTTGGTATGGGATGTCCCAGCCAATGGTGTGGCGATCCCCGTGGCTGTTGATTGACGATACGCCACAAGCCATAACTTTAGAATTCATTTGTCAATGTACATACATGTGGCAAATGGCCTGAGTTTGAGCTTGTGGTGTACTGAAAATCAACAGTTGTTCAAGGATTCTTTGACAAACTTATCTTATAAAAAATAAGTCTATATTCGAATACAATAAAAAACAATTAAAATTACATAATTACCAAAGAATTAATTCGATAAGTTTGTCTTAGTTTCCTAGAACTCGTCATGTAGGTCCCTGGCCCGTTACCCTGCTTCGCAGTCACCCTTACCCCCGCTTAGTGGGTCCATCTATATTAATCTACTTTACCCTTCCGCTGGTCAATTGTCAATATTATCCTGACGTTTTGTTAATACTGTGTTAAAAATACACATTTTATTGACAGAACGTCAGTATGTACCCTCTAACATTACCCAAGCTAGGCGCTGCCCAAGGTATTCATGGTGTAAGGCATACTTACCCCAGGGTAAAAGCTTTCTATGTATCATGTAAATAAAATAGATTTAAGCTATAAAACTAACTTTTATGAAATATCTATAGACGTTAAAATTATATGAAATAAACAATTAAATTACGACCCAAGTAAGGCTGCGATAATTATTGGGGAAAGCCTGAAAAGGTTATTTTTAACATAATTTAATAAAATAAATAAATTTATTTAAAACTAAAGATATATGTAATATTTCTAATATATAATATTTCCACGTCACAATGTTAGTTACCGAACTCCTCAGAGACGGCTTTACAGATTTTTATCAAATTTTATATTTATTCAGTAGGTCTGAGAATCAGCTCCAATCTATTTTTCATACCCCTAAGTGATAAGGGTTATTCACCTCCAATTTTATATATTTTTGTATATTTTTTTTGTTTTATTATTATACGTTTGCCCGGTCAGCTATTATTAACATATGTTCATTAGAAATGTTTTTTACCGCTATGAAAAACTATACAAAATGAAGACCTTTTTTCAAATTACTAGCAGATAACAAATTATTTTCTTATTTAATTTTTCAAATAAGTATATTGATATTGCTTTGACCTTGAAAATAATTATCAAATGTATGGAATTTTAAATATTTTTTACAAATAGTACTATATATAATAATATTAATTTTATTTGTTCTATATAAAAGTAAAATGATTATAAAGAAGAATATTTTTTTATAATTTATATGAAAATCAAATCATTTAGTATTGAACAGTTTTTGAAAGTAATATTTTAGTCATAAACAAAGGTTTCTTTAGGAAAATACGTACGCAACTGACACTAAATTAATAAATTAAAATAATTTACTGAAATATTACATTTACACCTTTCTCAAACAAAAGATTTTCTCGGAATAAATTCCTAAAATTGCTTATTATTATTGATTTCTTCCTTCATAATTTAATATATTTGTTTTATAAAATAATTTATTTAAATTTCTTTCGATGTACAATTTTCTATCATACAATGAATAATTTTAAATTATTGACATTCTTATAATGTACGAAGTTCATACATTATGTGGTCATTAACTCATCCAAATTCATTTTTCCCGAAAACTAACCAAAACGTCAGTAGTATGTAGTTTTTTATATAAAACACGCGTAATATATCCGAAAAATATTAGTTTCATTTAAATGAATAAAATTAGCTTGCGTTAATATTTATCTATCGCTCTTGTACTAAAATATAATTGGAATTCTATCAATGATTGCTTTTCTATCAATAATTGACCTCTTTAGGACCTCTCAATTCAATTATTAATGAAATCTTCTATATATATATAAAAATGGATTGCTGTTCCTTAGTCTCGCTAAAACTCGAGAACAGCTGAACGGATTTATCTTATCTTAGTCTTGAAATGTTCGTGGAGGTTCAGGGAAGGTATAAAAGCTGAAAAAATTTATCCATTACTGGGAAAACCATAAAAACAGCCCTTTTCTATTTCCCATACAAACGTTTTTCATCACATTAGATTTGACAACTAACTAATATGTCAATCATACTGTCGCACTTCAAAACACGGAGATTTATGGCTTACAGGTAAACTACAAAAATATAAATAAAAAAACGTAATAGATATTTTTTGATTATAGGGCGATACGAAGTTCGCCAGGTCTTCTAGTTACACTATAAAAAATCGCGTAAATCTCATCATCAAAACTCATCAAAACTCATCGGATCTCATAGGTACCTTGATGATCTTTGAATAGTGAGGAAGTTGTAATCAGCCCCGGATTCCTCTAATACTATTAAGTACTACACAATGATGTACGTGACTACCAGGCTAGTGAGGGGATCTTGTCGATGTGGGACGTGTGTGTCTGTATGCTGTTCGGATTTTTATGAAAACATTCTATTACTTTTGATTCTTTTATTACATTTTATTTATTTGGTATTCCTGAATGGTGTTATAAAGCTTTTCATATCAACGTACCAATACCATTTTATTTATAACTCACATTATTCTCACACACGTATCGCTTTATTCATTTTTAATTATTCAAATAGATTTATTTTAGACTAGATTTCCCCCCGCAGTTTCGCCCGCGTGGAGTTCCGTTATATCACGTTTCCAAGAGAACCTTTAAAAAATCTGGAATAAAAACTATTCTATGTTCTTTCTCAAGGTCAATTCTATGTCTGTTCCAAATTTCAATAAAATCATTTCAGTGGTTTAGGCGTGAAAGCCTAACAGACACACAGAGTTACTTTCTCATTTATAATATTAGTAGGGATGCCTTTTCATTATGAATTTTCGTCTTCCTGGCAATTATCCCAACTTTAGCCAGGTTCTGCCCTGCTCAAACTCCTCCACTTCGCATATAAATATCGATAGTATATTTTGTATATTATCGATGTTTTTTCTATCGATACCATCCCATCACTACCACCAAATATCTACTTAACGTCTCTGGCTACTGACAGTATGACAAATGCGTTTGGGAACGTACATTATCTGGCCTAGTTTAGTATCTTGAGAAGCATATCCTTCGCTTATGATGTTACTCAAAGAGAGCTTAAATATTATCTGTAACTCACAACGGGATTAAATATTAATATATATATTATTTTTGGTATTTTCTATGTACAAAAGATATACATAAGCTAATTTTATATATGTATATACTTTGAAAGTTTCTTTGACGTGAGTTATCTTAAAGGTAAAAATGTTTGTGATTGTAGTACGAAATACATTTACTCATTTACTGTTACAAAATTACTTGACAATAACGAAATAGAAATTATATTGAGTAACCGGAGGTTAGATGAAAACTACGAAACTTACTAATATGTATATTATAAAAAGAATTATATATTAAAACTTATAACCTACACCTAAGACTACATGATTGACCCGATGTTATGATAGCAATACCATTCCATAGCTTGTGTGTATCAGGAATCTTCTGGTTCACACGGCTTGGTGTTCGTTCCGCGGAGTCAGCGGCGTCAAGAGTTATATATTTTATACATACAACGATGTCGCCCCGGCGATGTTCATTTATTCTTTATAGGATATCATTAATAATTTAGTTATAGATGAAAAAATTAACTATATATAAGAGTAACAGCATGAAAAGCATAGTTAACAAAAGGTTAACTTAAAAAGATATCATTTGTATACAAATGTTAAATTTTTATAAACAAAAGCGTTGTAGTCAAATGTTTTACTGAAAGCGCGGTTTCGCTCCACAATGACACAAAGCGTTCACTCACTGCATGAAAAGAAGTGCTGTTTTAAAAATACACTGCGGGACAATAAAAGTATATTATTATATTAAATAATATTTACATTATAATGATCTTGATTGTATTTATAACAGTAGCTGTACCCGTGACTTCGTGCCTACGTAATACTTAGTATACTTATTTCTATTTACAAAATAATTTACGAAGTTCTTATTTACATTTGGTTTAGTAATTCGTTATTATTTGAACTAGCTATCACTAAAAATACGAATAAAATCATTAAAAAAACGTTCCAATATATAACAAAACAAATAGATTATTTTTACACAAAGACATTTTTGGAAAAATATATATATGTATATGAAATTTCGTAATTTTTAAAAGCCAATATTAGATAGACATCCATCATACATAATTATTACATAAATTAATATTCAGTTAAATTAAAAAGGATTAAATATTTTTTTATATAACTCGAAAATAATTAATCTCCTCCAAATGTATTACTATCTATTTACAAGAATTCTATCAAAATCTTCTTTTTCTTTACGAAGATATAAGCACACATACAGACATACATACATACTGCGGATGAAGACCCTTACACTGTGTAATCAAATTATTGTTTATTCATCAAAAAACATATATTACAAAGTTTAAAATAGTTTACAACGGTAAAAATAAATAAGTAATGTATTCATTGAAGTAAAGTTTAAAGATAATGGATAGAAGACTTCTTCACAAGCAGGATACGAACCTGGGACTTCAATAATAACGAGTTATAAATGCTTTTAAAATTACTCTGGTATCTAAGCTAGATTAATGAAGAGTTTCATCAAAATCCATGCACTAGTTTTCGAATGTCAGAGTAACAAACAATCATACATACACATTTCCGTCATAGATTCTGTCATTGGTAGAATATTATAATCTTCTAGTAATATATATTAGTTCAAAAAAATAGCTTCTTACTAATATTTATTTTATATTTTATAGTACGATTTATCAATTAGTTTTTTGTGGACATGCGCAGATCGCACACTAGCTCTGTCCCTTTGACTCTCATAGAGGATCTATAAAAAGAATATATTAATCCTGGCGGCCCTAACAAGGATAATGGAAAATTGTTAACGAATTATTGTATTGTCATTGGTCCTTGAGACATATGTAAAGATTCAAGTTAATCAGATGTTTAGAACATGGAAATCGTGCTCAAAGATTCCGTTACATACAGGGTGACTGGTGAATTACTATCGATACTTGAGGACGTGATATTTGACGATCATATATGACAAAATAAAAATTAATATAACATAAATATTAATAAACTTCTAAGTAAAGTTAACCAAAAGTTATGTAATTAATTACGCATCGTGTGAACACCCTACAGATTAGGTATACACACACGTGTGCGGTGGCGTAGTGTTGTATCACACGCGTCCACACTTGGAACACTTGGAACGTGTCCACGCTTTATTTATTTATACGGAAATTTGGTCAAAAATTAAGTACCTATTTTTTTTACATAATTCGAATGAGAATCATGTACCGAGTATTCTTCTTCAATATTGATAGTAATTCACCAGTCACCCTGTATAAGCGTGTTAAAAAGACATGAATTTAATATTTTCAAATGTTTATACTTCCACTGTCCCGCGTTGTAACATCTCAAAGCGTACCATAACTGCCTTTTTCTCACCATTATCCCGTTTTCCTCTGCGAGTACATACAAAAGCTTCTTCATAAAATATTCTTTAGAGTATTTTTATTATTTTAAAAGTGAATTTTCTTTTACTGATTTCCTTATTATACCAGAGGTTTTCTGTCTGGGTATGGTCTTTTAATTTTTAATTTAATTTTCCTTATTCCTTCCTTGAATAATTAATTATGGGGTCAATGAACTTAGGATAACGTCTTACTACAAGTCGCATTGTCACGACATACGTAGCGTTAACAGTTTCTCATCCACAAATCATTTCACGTAAGAATTGAATTAAGAAACTATTATAATAACGCTTACTCTTAGTTTCTCTCCTCAAACTGGAAGTATGTAGTTTAAACAAAAACTCATGGTTAAAATACAATTATTTGAAAGCTTAATATCATCATCATCTTATCAGAGCCCACTGCTGAGCCTCTTCTCACATGGAGAAGGTTTGAGCATTAATCACCACGCTTGCTCAAGACGGGTTGGTGATTTCAAACTGATAATTTGATATAAGTCCAGGTTTCCTCACGATGTTTTCCTTCACCGTCTGTCTGTCTTTAAGCTCAATATAAAATTACCTAATTATTTTAACTCATACAAAACTTGTTTTTCGTTGACATCTATTAAAGATATCTTTTTCCATACAATTATTTTATATTACAGTAGTAATAACAATCAATTTAATATTAATATCAGGACCTATTATATATTAATAATATTTCATAAATTTAATTATGTTTTTGTATATAAATAAGTCTATAAACATGAAAAAGTTACATTAAAATCTGCTCAAATTTAAATTTACCGGATCTTTGTAATCACAATATTTCAAAAATGCAACGGTTTTTTTTAATCAAAATATTGTGTTATTATATATATTGTAACTCAGAAACAAAAGTTTGTAATCAAACCAGTAGTTTTTACGTATTTAATAAAGTTTGCAAGTAAATTCTTAAAACACGAACATGTATATTATATATTTTAATTCCTTTCTATCTTTATATAAGGATCCTTCAGTATCTGGGTCTCGTAAACTTATGCCACAGCATGTCTTACCGTTGACAAGCATAATCACAACGGAAACGCTGCTTCCAGCAGGAAATAAAGCCTTTGTAGTCTATTTTCAAGCTTCATAGTTCATTAGTTTCCGGTAGCTAATAATTTTGAAGTTTACAACTTGTTTTATATATTTAGTAAAGCATAAAATATGAAAATGAGATCGAAAACTAAGATGAGACATCTCGTAATGATCACGGTTGCTGAAAAGTAACCGAAACGTCGGGAGTATGTAGTTTAAAATATATATAAAAGAAAGTCCTGATAGTTACACTATTTATAACTCTAACGACTGTACGGATATAGTTGGAAATTGGTGGAGAGATAGACTAGAACATAGAAAGGACATAGGATATTTAATTCTGTTTGATTGAAAGAAAACTTAATAAACTCCAATATATTGTTATTTACGTCCTCTAGGTCGGAATACAGTTCGCCTGGTCAGATATACATATATTACTAATGACAAAATTAAATCATACAAAGTCGCGGGTAAAATCTAGTATTTTATAGAATGAAATTGTGTGAAATTGAAACAAACTTGTAGTAGTCGTACAGCTCGTTTTCAGTTAATTTTACGTTAGTTTTATTGCCTAAACTATGTTGTTTATTAGATAAACTTTTTCATTCCTATAAATTAATTCTATATATATAACATCTTGTTTTTATTTAAGAAAACTTCAATTTCATAAAAAAATACTCCCAAAAATATCTTTGTAAGCCATAAGAATCGAATAACAGAATGTTTTTCTCCTTATTATACTTTTATGTACACGGAAAGGTGAGTTCCCCTCGTCCCAGTGGTGTCGTAAAAAATACGTAGACCTCTCAAGATGTTAGTCGTTTAATTTTACAAAGGTTCCGAGGGCGTTCGTAGTTTCCATGTCAAAAACATACACTAGTATATGAAAATATTCTTACTAAAACATTTTAAATATTTAGTGTGACACTCAAACTATAAAGCGTATAAAACTTATTTTAATTAGTACATTCTAAATTTCTTGAACAATTTATTTAACTTCGTAACTGTAAGTATAATAGCTTACTTTTAAAATGATAGTTTTATAAAGGTACTTTCGGTTATATCGCGTTTCCAAGAGAACCTTTCAAAAGTCTGGGATAAAAACTATCCTATGTTCTTTCTCAAGGTCAGCTCTATGTCTGTACCAAATTTCATTAAAATCAGTTCAGTGGTTTAGGCGTGAAAGCGTAACAGACAGACAGACAGACAGAGTTACTTTCGCATTTATAATATAAGTAGGGATTTCTTTAACTTCGTAACTGTAAGCTTACTTTTAAAATGATAGTTTTATATAGTTATTGACTTCCTCTTAAGAATATTGAGTTAAAATTTCAGTACATTTAAAGTAATATTACATATATATGTGATATTGTATGTATATTTGTGAATTCCCAAACGGTTGAAATTACCATATGTATAGACGACAGGCGCTGTCTCTGTAGGGGAGTTTATTGAATTTGAAAATGAATAATTTTCCTGAATTTCCACTGCATTTTGTAACAAAAGGAAATCTATAGAGAATATAAAATAAAAATGAGTCAACGGCTATTCAATCCAGTCGAAATATATATTATATATATATAAAAGAAAGTCGTGTTAGTTACACTATTTATAACTCTAACGACTGTACGGATATGGATGAAGATTGGTGGAGAGATAGATTAGAACATAGAAAGGACATAGGATATTTAATACTGTTTAATCGAAAGCAGAAAACATGATAAACTCCAATATTTTGTTATTTACGGCCTCTAGGTCGGAATATAGTTCGCCCGGTCAGCTATACATATATTACTAATGACGAAATTAACGCGGACGAAGTCACGGGTGAGAACTAGTATGCTTTAAATCTTAACCCATTTTTATTACGATATGTTATGTTTTATCAATTGTAGTCAGCTTCCTACAAATATTTTTCCCTACATATATTTGAATATTGCTATATTACTAAAAATTGATACAACTCTGAAAAACAACCCATCAAATATTGATTTTTTTTACAAAAAACAAAACGTACATACAACCATAACTTTACGGAACAAGCTTCCAGAAATAGCAGCTTTAAGAAGTCGCAATTTAGTTAAAAACTTCCAATTTTTCTAACAATTTCCATAGATAGAAACTGGAGAGTAGAAAATAAACCCTGTCTACTCAGTTAAATGCTGAACGTAGTGTCTATTAGTAACACAAGGGAGACAATGAAAGTAACGCTTCGAGCATTGTTTGAAAACTAATAACACTCCCCCGAAAAGGTTTCCCTTGTCTCGAGTGAGGACCCCGAGTAATAAAAGCAGACACGGGGTAAAGAGCTAGTACATCATTACAATACACAGCTTGATAGCACTACGAAAACATTTATCTAACAAAAACTGTACTAATGGGAGAATATTGGCAAAATTAATTGACTATGCAAGGTTTTTTAGTCAAATTACATATTTTTTTTTACAAATAATCCTTTCTTTATTTTAACTAACTAGTTACAACTCAGATTTTGACTTCCACAAATATAATATATTTTAATAATATGAAATAACTCATTATTATCTTATTTATATGTATAATATTACCAATAAAAGAAATATGTTTTAAAGAGCAAAAATTTAAATTAACAAACCTCACATATTTAATAAAATTATGTCTAAATAACGCTTAAGTAAATACATTAAATTTAAATCCATAAAATAATAATATAATTATCAGAAAACGTTAATTTCACTTGTTTCTCCATAAAACTTAAAGTTCAAGTAGATGTTTGAACCTACGTAATACATAATGTGTAATTAACTCCTTTGATTGACAAAATCAGTAATTACTATATTTAGTTTAAATAAAACTACACTTACTGAAAAGTAACTGAAACGTCGGTAGTATGTAGTTTAAAATATTAAAAAACGTGTACTATACGAAAATATTAGTTTCATTTAAATAAATACACGCGTAAGTCTTGATCATTATGTTGTTTAATTACACTCAGATTTACTTACCAACTAAAGGTTTCTTATTAACAAGATTTTATGTAAATATATCATATGTACTTTATAAGAGTATTTAGACATCACTGATTAATGCATTCCCAAAGAGGGTTGATGTCAGGCAGGCGGATCGTAAAAACAATTAGCCAAAACTATTCACAACATGTAAGGCAGACCCTGGCTAAAGCTGGGAAATAACCAGGAAGAAGATGTGTATAAATAATAAAACAATCGTTTATATATATGTGTTAAACTACAATTCTCTCAGCTAAAATCATATAAAGGCTTAATATAGTATATGCATATTATGTGGTTCCAATCACACATCAAAGTCTTCTAGTCAAAGGGTGATCATGAAACGGCGCGCTTCCTTTCAAGATGGCGTCGCATCCGGTTGAAGCACTCGTTGTCTGACTGCCATCCGGAGCGGACGTGCCCACTATTGAGTTTTCTATTATAAGATTACTTTGTTCAAAACGCATATTACCATATCACTGGATAGACTACTTTAGGCTGTGTTAGTTTCAGAATTAGAAATGTATAGACATACATACATATGTATAGACCGGGCGAACTCTATTCCTTCTTAAAGACAGTAAGGATTTTGGATTTGATCAAATTATTTTTTATTCTTTTTCGATCAAATGAAAAGTATCCTATGTCCTTTCTATGTTCTAATCTATCTGTCCACCAATTTTCAGACAAACCCGTACAGCGATTCTTGAGTTATAAATAGTGTAACTAACACGACTTTCTTTTATATATATAAATTTTTCATTAAGATAAAGTATAAAAATTAGACATTAACTATTATTATTAAATGTAATGATAAATTAATTTTAGATCTCCTACTTACTGATACAATATTATTTTAACAACTTACCTCTTTTCTCGTCGTAAGTAATCTTATTTTTACATATCTTCTTTCAATCTAATCATCTAATTTATTTTATATATGTGATCTATAAGATCTACACAGATATTTTACATTATTTATTTTTCTAACAAATTTTGCTAACTTTTTTAAGAAATTTTAAATTTTTCATAATCAAAAGCTTCACCCAATAAACATACAAAAAAGAGACTTAAAAATCTTTAAAATGTTTGCTCTTTTGTAATTATCTATAAGTCTATAGAAAGATCTTTTAATTTTAATAGCATACCATTCTAGTGAAAGTGCGTTGTATAATTCAAACTAATTTCGTTTCAGTCCTCATTAACTCACACTAGATGGCGCTACTAGTGACATAATTACCCTGAGAGAACGATTAATTGAATCACGAAGCGGTTTCGTGTACATTAATTAGTTTAGATGGCTTTTAGTTTGAATTATGTGTAATGTGATATATGGAAAACATTTTTTTTGATATAAATTTTACGTAAAAATGCAAATACCAATGGTATATTTCGTTTCTATCTTTAGATTTTAAAAAGAACGATTCTTTTGAATGAAAATAAGTTTTTTTCTATTGAATTTTTTTGCTATTTAACGAAAAATACATATGTATATGTATAGATAACGTATTTTTTGTTTAAAAAGATTTCTACTGAAAATATGTTGCATAAAACCATCCAGTCTCTATACAGTAAGAAGAAATGTGTTATTCATATATGTAGATTACAAAGAAACCCTTGGAAATCGTGAATAGATCGAAGTGTATTCAATTCAGTTACACTGAAATAGGTCCAATAGAAAAATAATATGAAATACATCAGAAGTATCTATAGTTACTTCTTATCTATAGTTACTATTTCCTATAGTACTGTAAATTCCCAACCTACCCTCCAGTAAGTAGAGTTCATTACAGAAAAGCGTCACACTTTCTTGAAGGGTGCGGCTGTGGGTTAAGTTTCTCATTATGAGGGCTAAGATTCTTGTACGTATAAGTTACCCACGCTTGTACACATGTACATATGTGTACCATAAAGTAATTTGGCTTTACAAGTAATGACTACTTCTTTCCACTTGCTAATTTTATTTGCTACTAATTTAAGACTCGTCTGTGTCGAATATAGTCAAACTTTATAGGAATTAACAGTTAAAAACTACGAGAATTCAAAGCTGTTAATGGTAGTTTTAAACACATGCTACTTCCCAGCGCACTCCAAGCCAACATGGCGTACAAATGGCACTAATGCAACTCTCGACTCGAAATACAAAAGCTATTGACCTCAGGGGCTCGTTGTTGGAGTGTTAAATTGTGTATTGAGTTCATATATCGATGATATTATAATTAAACTTAACACGTTACTTACAAGATGTAAGAATTAAAGGGGAATATACGAGGATATTACTGGGAGAGAACAAAAATGTTTTGTTATAGGAGAGTATATGTAGGGGAAAAGAAATGCGTTATATTTGGTTGTTCTTGCATATTTAATTAAGTTTTTATGCTATGGCTTCTGTCTCAGTGGAATTGTGGAATATTTTGGCATAGTCAACGTTCTTATTTGTAGGACGAATTGTTATAATTTACTTGTAATAATTTTGATAAATTTAATTAATATATAGTTGGTTTTTGTTAATTAATTATAATAATTAAGTATTCAATATTTAATAAATTTTTATATTTTATTTTTAATACGTATTGAGTATGTTTCATTTTGCCGTTTTTTTATTGTGGATATAATTACGGAAGATTAATACATATTATTTTCGGATTCCGGTTCGGTTTTAGATATGAAATGATTATTTACTTATGAATTTGATATTATAAAAACATTATTATTAAAATGCATATTAAAAAAGTTATGTATATAATATATTTTCACTTTTTCTCTAACTATGAATCTGTTACAATCGGTGACTGTTAAAAGCGAGTTAAATCATTATTTTTTTTATATAACGAAAGTGCCAAACTTAAGTACTGAGTGAGAAACTTTCTCATTGGAAAATCTCTCACAACGGTTCTGTCAACTTCGTCATTAAACGGAATTATTGCAAACTTTAATGTCGGATTCGGATACGATTACGGTATATCCGTATTATATTTTTACGGATGTCCGACAAATTTGGTTATATTTACGGAAGTTTAAAACTATAATATACTCGCGAAAACTCACAATGGATCCGCACGGTGAATTCATGGAATGCTAAGAAGTTTTATCTCAAAAGATTTCAAATCCGTTTAGTTGGGAGTTATTTCCATATCAAAGCTATAGTTTGGTTTATATAATGTACATATCTAGATATATCTGTTCCTTTATGTCTTCCCTATTACATAACATCATTACGTTTATTTACAGTGTCATGTGAATCCAAAATGTTTATTGCCTTCCGTTGTATACTCCTCAATACTACTTCCTACTTAATTTTATTACCCTTCCAGGGATTTAAGTCGCAACGAACTGACCGCGATCAGCAGAAGGACTTTCCGAGGTCTGACCGCGCTGAAGAGTCTACACCTGGATGGAAACCAGCTGAAATGCATCGACGAAAAGGCCCTGGAACATTTGAAAAGCTTGGAAGTCTTGTGAGTCAAAAATTACAGATAAGGATAACCTCCTTTGTAAAGTTACCTCTATGTATCAATAGATGGCGTTATATTCATGTGTCAAGTTTACGTATTTCAATTATAGATGGCGGTGTTCGCATTCATCAGTTTCACTAAGATTTTCTTTTCTATTTTCTTTAATATAATTTAATTTACTATATAATTTGTTACAATTATTTCATAAAATATTATTCCCATATTCTAAGCTTATGAAAATCAAGAATTTTATAGATATTGACTCATTAAAGTAATTGACTTGTCCTTATTTTTCTCAGAACCTTAAATAATAATAACCTGACGTACCTATCACTGGAGGCGGTGTCTGTCGCTCGTTTGCACACCCTACGACTGTCAGACAACCCGGTGGTTTGCGACTGTCGTGTGGCACGTCTGGCTGCGGCCGTACGCGCTGCTGGGATACTCGGCTTGGGAGCGAGGTAATGTACTTATAAAGCAACAGTTACTTGAAATAAAGAGGACGATTCTGTATGATTTTCTTAATAAAAAAGGCTTAACTAATTGTATATTAATATTATTTCCAGATGTCAGGCCCCAGCAACACTGAGAGGCGCCATGCTGACGGAGTTGGAAGCCCAAGATTTAATATGCAACGGTAATTATTAACAGACTTTATCATCTCAAAACACTATAAAATATGAACAAAACTAATATTTATATTACAAACTTTTACCCGCAACTTTGTCCGTGTAAATTTCAGAGTTTGCCTCGATTGAGTAATGTAAAGAGTATTTTAAAATATAAGATATGATATTCAACATGAATACACAATACAACTGTTATTCATAGATCCAAAAGAGACTACATATAATTCCGGAATAAAATATACCTATATGTGTATTATTCAGTTACTTAAGCTATACTATTGCAAAGTTTCACCATATACAACTTTTGCGTGAAAATCCGTACCATAAGACTACTTATATTATTGAAACAAGTTAATTTATTTATTTTAATTACCAATATAAATATTCTAGGTCCCAACTCCATAGCAGAGTGTTCGTCAGAGCCTCGTTGTCCGCCCGCGTGTCGTTGTTCAACGGACGGCACGGTCGACTGTCGAGAGAAACTACTCACAGAACTACCCATCACCATACCGCATAGAGCTACTGAGATGTGAGTACATAGGACTCAGATATTAACGAGACTACAAATAATGTATGGACTATGAGTTATGTAGAAATAATGAATTGAAATGTATGGACTGTAGAAATAATGAATGGAAATGTATGGACTGTAGAAATAATGTATGGAAATATATGGAATTTAGAAATAATGAATGGAAACCGTATGTACTGCAGAAATAATGTATGGACGTATGTACGTAGTAATTTTCCTTCCATTTATTTTTGGATGAACCTAACTTTTTTGGAAGGTTTTAATCCAATAGATTTGTTCTTGAACGAGGCATTAAATATCGACATATGTCTCAACAGTATAATAAAGTATGCCTTATTGTGTTAGACTTGTAAGACGAAGTTCTAAGTATAATTTTGGTATTTTACACTTTTGACATTGGTGAGCATCAAGTAAATAGAGAAACAAATAAGTAATATATCTATCTCTTTCCAGTCGTTTAGAACAGAACGAGATAACGGAGGTAGGTGCTGGCGCCTTCTCATCTGTGAAGAGAGTCGCTCGCATCGACCTGTCCAACAACAAGATCGTCAAGATGGCCGGCGACGCTTTCAATGGATTAACACATCTGACTTCATTGTTAGTTATACAATTTATATAAAATTATCACTACTAATATTATAAATGCGAGAGTAACTCTGTCTGTCTGTCTGTTACTCTTTCACTGAACTGATTTTAATGAAATTTGATACAGACATAGAGTTGACCTTGAGAAAGAACATAGGATAGTTTTTATCCTAGACTTTTGAAGGGTTCTCTTGGAAACGCCATATAACCGAATTCCACGCGGGCGAAGCTGCGGGCGGAAAGCTAGTACTATATAATGCAATTAAATGTCAAAGGTGGTAGAGCTTAGCTGTGGTCATGTTACTACAGCTCGAACATGGGCTAGCTCGACCAGGGAAGTACCACCCTCTCACAGAAGATCGGCGTGAAGTAGACTTTAATGACTGCGTTTCGTCCGATGAGTGAGAGAGACGGTTGCTCTTTCCCTATTCCTACCATTTCCTTATTCCCACCCAACAACTTTCTCAAAAACCAACAACAACAACACATCCACATCATCACCGTTGTGGGTGCCATGTATGCCAAGGTTCTCTATACAAATAATATTAATGATTTTTAAAATATTTATAAAATACTAGTTTTTTCCCGCGACTTCGTCCGCGTTAGTTTGGTCAAGAGTAATATATGTAGGTATAGCTGACCGGGCGAACTCTATTCCGTCTTAGAGGCCATAAATAATCAGGTTTTTCCTGTTTCAATCAAACAGAATGATTGACATATTAGTTAGTTGTCAAATCTAATGTCAAAATAAACGTTTGTATGGGAAATAGAAAAGGGCTGCTTTTAGTTTTTTCCCGGCAATTATTAAATTTTTCTCACCTTTTAAACCTTCCCTGGACTTCCAGGAGTATTTCAAGACTAAAATGAGCCAAATAGGTTCAGCCGTTCTCGAGTTTTAGCGAGACTAAGGAACAGCAATCCATTTTTATATATATAGAAGATACGTATAATAAAGACTTAATTTTTGTATTACCTTAACCAAAAATATGATCAAAATTTAATATATGTATAATAGTACCTATAGTAACCCGCACGGGTCGTCGGTTACGCGGCCCGCGAAGGTACGAGGGGCAAGGGGGGTACACCTGCGCAGCGTGCCTGCGCAGAAGCTCGTAATTCGTATCCACGCCGACGCGCCAAGCGCAGGGGCACACCCCGCTCAGTCGTCGTTTAACTCTTTCCCGGAAAGGCTGCGCGCGCATCTTTCTTTTCCGCGTCTCCCGGAGCCTCCAGGACGCCAAATTTCCTCTCCTGTGTTGTTTTACCTTCGATCTTTTGTTATCGTAACATATTATCGATGTGCTTTACTAACCTGAGTGAATATCCCTTTGTGCATTCTCGAATAAACTTTGTTTGTTAACTGTTAAAATAATCCTCAAGAAGAACCTACGCACTGAAATAGTATGTTCATATTGTTTCAGAGTTCTTTATGGAAACAAAATAAAAGACCTGCCATCAGGGATCTTTCATGGACTTATGTCGTTACAACTACTGTAAGTATTTTCTAAATCAATCGTTATAACAGTTTCAGTCATCATAAAGCTATCAGATTTAGATACATATAGTCAAAAATAAAGATAATTTAATATAGCATCATCAGCCTATCAGAGCCCACCTCTAAGCAAAGGCCTCTTCTCATGAAGAAGGTTTAAACATTAATCGCCACGCTTGCTCAAGACGGGTGACGATTTCAAACTTATAATTGATATTATAAGTTCAGGTTTCCTCACGATGTTTTCCTTCATCAGTCAGTGATGTCTAAATACACTTATAAAGTACATATGACTGGGAAAAATCACATTGGTACTTGCCAGGTTTCAAACCCGCGCCCTCAAGCACGAGAGGCGATCTATAACTTCTAGAACACCACGAATTAATAATAACCACCATGAATAAATTCAATAGTAATAATAATCTTTTAATATTTTCTTTCAGTTTGCTCAATTCAAACGAGATAAGTTGCGTCCGTAAAGACACGTTCCGGGACTTGCAGAGTCTCAAACTATTGTAAGTATTAATTTCAACATAAATTATTATTTTATTGTAACTTTTGAAATAACTAATTCTTATGTACAGATCTCTCTACGACAACAACATCAGATCACTTCCGAATGGCACCTTCGATTCGCTCACAGGAATACAAACTTTGTAAGTGAGACTTTCATATTTGGTATCTTCGATGTAGATATAGAATTTGTTACACTAATTCCAACCTTATTCTATAGACATTTGGGTCGTAATCCGTTTTCCTGCGACTGTTCGCTGCGCTGGCTCGGCGCCTACCTCCGTCGTAACCCCATCGAGACTTCTGGCGCTAAATGTGATTCCCCCAAGAGGATGAACAGGAAACGAATCGATGCTTTGAGAGACGAGAACTTCAAATGTAAACGTATGTAGAAGTTATACAGAGATATAATAATATAATAATTGAATCATCAAATAAAATGAAGTATTAATATATAGTGCTTTGTATCGCAGTAACATTTGAATTTGACTAAATCTAATAATGAATAACTTAAAAACAACATTACCATTTCTTTTCTACTTCAGTTTCCATTCAAAATTGCTGAAAAACGAAAAAACAGCCTTAAAAATACAAAAAATATTAAAAAAACCCTCAAATATTAAGTATTGTCTCTCATATTTCAGCCGGTGAGGAGCCCCCGGACGCATGCGGCGCCGCCCCTCCCTGTCCCGACACATGCGCCTGCTCGGGCGCCGGCCGCGCGCTGCGAGTGGCGTGCGCACGCGCAGGGCTCACTGACGTACCCAGAGATCTACCTCTCACTACACACGCACTGTGAGTACTACAACGACAATAATATTGAGTATTTAACTTAAATCTATATGTCATAATAAAAGAAAATATGTTAGTTATACTATTTATAACTCAAGAACGACTGTACGGATATGGATGAACATTGGTGGAGATATAGATTAGAACAAGGGAAAGATAGAGGATACTTTTCATCCGATTGAGAAAAAAAATAAGTTGATCAAATCCAAAATTTTCTTATCTACTGTTTTTAAGGAATAGATTTCGTCCGTACATTTATAATTCTGAAACTAACGCAAACAAAGTTGTGAGCGAAAACTAGTTTGAAATAAAACTATATTTTTCGTATTATTAGCCTAATATGATATATTTATCTCCTCTGTTCGTGATCTTGATTGATGAAATCAAACTTAGAGTTAAGACCCAGTTTCACCAATCAATGTTTGTTTTATCTAAACCCAGCATTTGCTAACCAACCTACAAAATTATAAATGTCTGTTAAAATATTTACGTCCCACGATGACAAATTAACAACGCATTATTAAACGTCATGTCAAATGACCGACTACCAAATTATTCGTTCTTGTTATAAGACGACCAAATGGAAACTATAGCGTTTAATACGGCACGTTTGTAACGATGCACCACTTTATACTTTGATCGTATATATCCCTCGATACGTCACTTGTAAGCTAATGCGATCAAATTTTATATATCATTCGTTGCATACATTTAGCACACAAAAAGCTTTCTTTTCAGTTCAACTTGTCAAAATCGTGTTGTCAAAAAATTGTGTTATATATTATTGTGTTATAAATATAGACATAAATTGTTTCAAATTATAAGAAATAAAAAGAACACTTAATTTGCAATGTCATAGAAAAGCTGGAGGCAAAATCATCATACTAAATGATATTTTAATTCATTTTATTAATAATAACAAGGAAATAGTCGAAACTGACAAAACAGATGACGTTACTATGGTTACAAGAAATCAGGGCTGTGATTGGACAATTGAGTTTTGACAATGCCATTAATATTCTGTTAGCCATTAGACGGAGCTCCAGAGCAGGAATTAATATTAGTGGCTGGTTAAGACATTTAAACGGACATTTGTGTGTGGTGGGACGCTCGATACATCTAACAGAGCTTCAAACGCATTAACACGATGTTACTTATTTAACATTGATTGGTAAAACTGGGTCTAAATGTAGGATATTAAAATAAGATGTTTTTGTAAAGAAACACAATACAAATGAAATTTTTATATTTATTAATATTTGTATGAATTGCAACTTGAGAGTATCGTCTCCACAGTATTGTGAATTGTGTACGTCTCTTGTTAAGGTCAATGACCTCTTTCAACTTTAATCATGAATATTTGCATCATAGATTGTATTTTCTTTCAGGATCATGCCGGACAACAATCTCGGTCAAATAAAATCCGACGGATTATTTGGACGACTGCCCGACCTCACGAAGTTGGATTTTAGGAACAATGGTAGCTATTGTTATATATTTTCTTGACTTTATTATTCTTTATTTATAGTGCACTTGGTCATTAGCCTATCAGAGCCCACTGCTGAGCCTCTTCTCACATGGAGAAGGTTTGAGCATTAATCACCACATTCGCTCAAGACGGGTTGGTGATTTCAAACTCATAATTGTGAAACTATAACTCCATGTTTCCTCAGGATGTTTTCACCGTATGTCAGTGATGTCTAAATACTCTCAGAAAGTACATATGATTCCGAAAAATCACATTAGTACTTGCAAGGTTTGAACCCGCGCCCTCGGCAACAAAAGGCGGGCCCTTTAACTGACTGGAGTGTACTTAAAAGACTAAAAATGTGACTATTTCTTATTGTTTTTCAGGTATAACAGTGATAGAAGATAACGCGTTTGATGGAGCAGTCGCCATGAGGGAACTCTTGCTTGATGGAAATCTACTGCAGACTGTGGGAGATAAAATGTTCTTCGGACTACACAGCCTTACTCTCCTGTGAGTGCCTTAACCTTAACATTGCCTAACCGCATGGCTTTTTTCAGATTTTTTGGCCTTTTTTCCTAATAAATATTATTATCATATACTATAAATTTTATATTACTATAGTACGGGAACTTGGTCGCTCGTACACTTCATAAAATGATATAAATTGATAATGCTTCTTAGTTTTATTAATTTCATATACCTAATATTATATATGACTGACTGGTGAGAACGCCCTGTGTACTTGGTGACTGAATGCGAACTAAATTAAATTATAAGTTATCGAGATTTTATAACAGAACAAGAATGATGATGCGTGCATTTACAGTATGTCGTAATTATGTCGAACGTATCTCGTACAACTATTAATAAATACTAATTTGGCCTTTTTTCATAATTTCAATACGAAATAATAAATATTTCAAAAATTTCCATTCAGCGGTCTTGAATTATGTATTCTTCGTCTGAATTTTCTTTATCTGATGTATTAACAGATTTTCTAGCATCAACATATGTGTAACACCTGATTGTGTCTTACTTATTAGTGATATTACCAAAAAGATTATGCGCATATCATAACAACATTTATGTTAAATATATCTCAATATAATTCGTGAATGTTGGTCCTAGCTTTATTAGTTAAATAAGCTGTATCTTCCAACGATGAGGTTAATCCAAGCTGAGCTTAAATAGTGCTATTTTTTGTAACAAAAAAAAATAACTTTATGGCAGATATATTTTATTTTTAATTATCATGTTGTTTCCAGATCCTTGACTGACAACAAAATAAGATGCATCACTCCGGGCTCCTTCGATCACCTCACGATGCTATCAACACTGTGAGTACAAAATATACAAAAAATACAATAATTACTATTCCTATGAAGACTAAATTTTATAACGAAATAAATTACCATAAAAAGCAACTATAAAATATTTTGTAATATTGTAGACCTTTAGATATAAACAGGACTAATTGTATCACACAACATATTTTAATTTCTCAATATATTGTTGTTTATAAAAAATTATACCTATAATTAATGAAAATCTATAAATGAAGAGAACTCAAGCATTTTTTACACCCAAAATTAACCTGTTGATATGAATCCATCAGTTATCAAAATCTTTTTTAGTCATCATATCTTATTTGCACCCACAATTAACTAAGTGCTTTTAATTTATACGATTTTTTCCGTATTTGTTCATATCTTCCAGTTCGTTAGCCAACAACCCTCTCGTCTGTAACTGCCACATGTCGTGGTTGCCGGGCTGGTTGCGAGGTCGTCGTCTGTCAGCAGGAGTGACGTGCGCTCTCCCCCTCGGCCTGCGCGGTACTGAGCTCCAACAATTGGAGGTCGTCGACTTTAAATGTGCTCGTGAGTGTTACCAGCTATAGATAATATTATATAATACGTACTTTATAAGTCAGTGGTGGCCTAGTGGTTAAAAAGTCCGCCTCTCGTTGCCGAGGGCGCGGGTTCAAACCTGGCAAGTACCAATGTGATTTTTCGGAGTCATATGTACTTTATAAGAGTATTTAGACACCATTGACAGATGAAGGAAAACATCGCGAGGAAACATGGACTTATATCAAATTATAAGTTTGAAATCACCATTCTGTCTTGAGCAAGCGTAGTGATTAATGCTCTAACCTACTCCATGTGAGAAGAGCCTCAGTAGTGGGCTCTGAAAGGCTGATGATAATGAATTATATAAGACTTGTGCTGATTTTGATAAATCTTATTTACCAGTGATCACGGAAGAAAAGATGAGCGCTATTAGTTTGCCATATTAATTTTTTCTATGTAGGCATCATTATATCACTGTATGAACTATATAGGAAGGTAAATATTCTGTAATTATGCTTTGTATGTAACAGAAACTACAAGTTATAAAACATGGCCTCTACTTCATTTTCTTTAGTACTTCAAAAACCTTTTACATAATAAAAGTCTGTCAAAACCATTTGTTAATAGCAATTAGCGCATTTCAGTATTCTTAATAGTCTAAATTTGATACAATAATACTAAAGCTCATACATGGATGTTCAATAACTTGATTCCCAAGAATCACCAATATCTAGAAACCATTTGGTTCTTCCTGCATAATAATACGAAACATTCCATATAATACACATGGACTTATAGAAAATTAGATGTACTTAATCATATCAATAATATTCCGCAGCTGACGAGCAGGGTTGTCTCCCAGCGGACTACTGTCCCGAGCGCTGTACTTGCGCCGGTACCGTGGTGAGATGTGCTCGAGCTAAACTGACAGCCCTACCGACCAGGATACCGCCTTACACCACGGAACTGTTAGTAATTATTTAATGTACATTAATATCTATGAGAAAGTGATATTTTTTGGCTTTGTTTATGTATTTTTTATTTTAAAAACATCCTTTTACATACTCCCGACGTTTCGATTACTTTGCCACAGCAATCACGGGAGAAAAGATGTGAAATAATAAAATACGCGTAGTAATTCGAAAATATTAGTTTCATTTAAATGAATACTCGAGATATTCTCATATCTAAGATTATTTGTTTCTGATATGGATAAAAGTCTCAATATATTTTGTATAGGAACAATCAATTTTACCGAGCAGGGTAATGACCCTGCAATCTATCAAATATCACTCCTAGTTTCTTTACCAAAGAAACCATCGTGATTGTACTATATCCGTTTTTATACAGTTCAATTTTCCCAATTATTTCTAGTTTTCTTTGGTCCTTTCTGCAAATGCTTAAATCCCACTAATATTATAAAATTTAACGTTTCCGAGAACGCATATAATATGATTGTTATTATTTCGCATAAACATCTTAATGTATTGGGACGAAAATATACATTAATACAGCCTAGACATTAAAGTAACACATACTTAGACAATGATTTATTCCGAAATTAAGTGAAATTGTCTCGGGAAAATAAACCTACACCTGGGTCACAAGTCCCAGTCTCTGTTGAAGCTCCTCTCACTACAACGATGGACCCGACACACACCGTGAATACATGGAATGATGAGAGGTTTCATCTTTATGTATTAAGTTTTTGCCAATAACTAGTACATTCCAATCGTCTCATATACTTGTAAGTTTTGAGTATAAACTTCTATATAATAATGATTCCAGGTACTTGGAGTCCAACGAGATCACCAGCATCTCCTCAGACCAGGTCCGTCACTTGACGCAGCTGACGCGGCTGGACCTCTCCAACAACAGAATCGGAGTTCTCTCCAACAATACTTTCGAAGGACTCAACAAACTATCAACACTCATCGTCAGTTACAACAGATTGAGATGCGTTCAGGTCTATATATATCTTTAAAATATTCACATATAATATATATTGTATAATAAAATGATGATTTTCCTGATAGAAGTACGAAAGGAGTTTAAATTCACAATCTTTCAATAACGGACAGTAGTTACCACATAGCATAATAGATGGCGTTACTTGTGCTTGAATATAAATTTTACTAAATTAAGTTTATTTTTCAAAGTCATAATAATTATAATATATTTATTTACATTCTCAATATTTAAGTTTTAATCATTAAAACTTATTTTTAATATAATATTGTTTATAACAGCGCGACGCTCTAAAGGGTCTGACCCAGCTTCGTGTATTATCTCTACACGGTAACAACATCTCGACTTTGGCCGACGGAGTGTTCAGAGATCTTGAATCAATATCACACGTGTGAGTATATAATAAATAATATTATAATATGTATTGGTATTAAAATAACTAATTTTTACTAGATGCTAAGTGTACATAGTTTGAATAAATACTATGTATATGTATACTATGAGACATTGACGGGCAGTACTTCCACTTAGATATTTGTTACTCCACAACTTGTAACAAAATCTTGTAATATTCAAAAATAAAGTATTTAGGTGAGGGTTACTAACAATATTTAATTGAAATAACTAATAATAATCATGAAATTGATATTTTTAACACAAATCAAGCGAATTTTATAAAAATTGAAAAAAAAAGTTTATTTTAAAAATGCAATTTGTAAATTTAAAAATTGTAATTGTAAACAATTATATTTCTTTTGTCTTTTTTGTAAATTCAAACAAAAAATTGTTTACTATACCATTTATTTATTTTCTTCTGGTAAATTTAATTCTTGTAACTTCATTGAATATCACTTTCAATATTTTATTTTTGTCTTTTTTTGTTTAGTCCATGTAATTTAATTTTATTATGTTCTTGATATACCTACTGTTGTTATTGTTTAGTACTAATACATAGTTATCTCCTGTATTGGAATGTGTTAACTGTAATAATTTTCAATCCCGTCATGTTGTGTGCACCCTTAGGTTTATAATCTGTTCGATACTATTAATGTTTAAGAAATATTCTGTATGTGATTGTGACCTGTTGTGTTTGCCTTAATAAATAAATAAATATTTAACAATATTAAAACCGCTATAAATATTTAAAAAATAAAATTTATTACAAAATATCTATTATTATACTAAAAGAAGTTTAAATATATGATATTAATAGTGTCCATATTATCCAGAGCCCTCGGATCAAACCCCTTGTACTGCGACTGCAGCGCGCGCTGGTTGTCTGAGTGGGTCAAGGTGTCTGGTGAGTACGTGGAGGCGGGCATCGCTCGCTGTGTGGCCCCGCCGCCCATGAGGGACAAGCTGCTACTGAGCACTGCTACTAGCGCTTTCGTTTGTAACGGTGAGTATATGATACGCATTTTATTTCATTTAAAATTAATAAAAAATATGTATAATCGCTGGGTTCGAACCCACAATCTCAAAAATATCTAATTCCAACTAATCTATCGTGTCCAAACTTAGTGTAATAAGAATTCTTGATTTTGTGTTTGAATCGTAGGTTTTTGCTCAACTTGTATATAATATTAAAAACAATCACAAATCTTTTTTGTTTAGAAAACTATATTCTGAGCATGATGTATCGATTCATGAAAAAAATCTTTTCGCAATATTTTTCTTTATTAACTCCTCAAGATATAGAAACTATTGCATATTCAAATTATAATAAACTTGCCTGATTTTAAATGAAACTAATATTTTTCGGATATACTACGCGGTTTATTTTTGTAAAAAACTACATATCTCGTCTGTCCGTGATCACGTATGCTGAAAGTAACAGAAACGTCCGTAATATGTAGTTTTTTCACAAAAATAAAGCACGCGTAGTAGATAGGAAAAATATTAGTTTCATTTAAATAAATAAAACTCACGAAAAACTTAGATCTCATAATCTTTACTGAGTTCATCATAGTTTTAGAAATACTATATGATACTGAAACTACACACATAGTCAAACCCTAATATTCTTAATTAACTTGAATATTATTTAAGAGTTAATATCCTTATCTTACCCCCCAGGTAACCCCCCACCGGAAGTCGTATCTAAATGTGATCGTTGTTATCGCAACCCGTGTCTGAACCAAGGCACGTGTCACTCAACCACATCCGGTGGCTTCGCTTGTGTTTGTGCTCGAGGCTTCCACGGAGACACGTGTCAGTATGAGATAGACGCGTGCTACGGCTCGCCCTGTGCTCAAGGAACGTGCCAGTTGTTGGAAGAGGGGAGGTTCCAGTAAGTAGACAAAGTCACGGTATCAAACATAGCTTATATTTTAATGGGAGAATATAATAAAATGCTTATATTAAAAAAGTCTTTAGATATATCTGAATTTTTTTTGGTTCCAACAAAATAATTCAAAATATAGTTGTCTTAAAAGCCAGTACTTCCAAATAACATATCAAACATGTAATGAAATGACACTTCATTAAATTCAAATTTGCCGCGCTTCGCGCGTTTGTAACTTATCGGCCAGAGACGCGTCACTATTCACTAATGGCGAATTATGTTTAAGTTTTTGTTCACTTTATGATTATTAAAACCTGTAGAGAGATAAACTAAGGGATATAATTGAGGAGGCGATATTAGTGGACTTTAATGTCGTTTCTTTGTATTTTCAGGTAAGGTAAAAGTGTAATTGTCATAGCTAAACGATAATTGTTATGATATTGTAAAGGCGTGTTAAGTAAAATAAAACTTTGTATTTTCAGAGAAACAAATTGTGGTTTGCTTTGAAAGCCCTTGATATTATTCCTTATATATTATATATATTTATATGTAATCTTCTTCTGTACTCCAGCTGCGCGTGTCACGCTGGTTACACGGGCGTGAGGTGTGAGGTAGACATCGACGACTGTGTGGAGCACCGCTGTAAGAACAACGCGACCTGCCTCGACCACCTGGAGGGATACACCTGCAAGTGTGCTCCGGGGTACATGGGTCAGTAATAACTACTAAACTTAACATACTCATAGAACAAAGAATTAAAGTCCTACCCTCTTTTTGAGGAGCGTGGAGTCCGCGTGGAGTTCGGTTATATCGCGTTTCCAAGAGAACCTTTCAAAAGTCTGCGATAAAAACTATCCTATGTTCTTTCTCAAGGTCAACTCTATGTCTGTACCAAATTTCATTAAAATCAGTTCAGTGGTTTAGGCGTGAAAGCGTAACAGATAGACAGACAGATTTACTTTCGCATTTATAATATTAGTAGGGATATATTGTACTTATTACAGTTTCAGTGTTGATTCTTAATGTTCATGTTACTTCCAGTAATGTGTTACAAGATGTGTGAAACCAGTATTGATAGTTTAAACACATGATACTTATGTTGATTAATTATAGTTTATTATGATTAGTACGTCACAGGTGGCGCCACTTGTAACAATACACATACAAATAGATATTTTCTCTTTCAAGTTTTGTCCTTCTATTTGTTTCATTTAATCTCTGAAACGTCTGGACTGTTTCTGATAGGACTTTGTATAATATTAAAGCTCATATATGAGAATAACATAAGCTATATTATGTCTTTCATAGAAATATAATAAAAGTCCAGCTAGTAGAATACAGTTAGTATGGAATTACACATTGCAAACCATCCTTCTTTATATATATTCGTCTAAATTTTCTTTTCAGGCGAGTTCTGTGAGAAGAAGATTCCGTTCTGTACGAGCGGCTTCAACCCGTGTGCCAACGGCGCGTCATGCGTGGACCTCGGCAGTCACTACACATGTACCTGCCCTAAAGGATACTCCGGACAGAATTGTACAGTTAACGCTGATGACTGTATCAACCATATGTGTCAGGTTAGTGAGGGATAAAAGTGTCACATCTTTATATATATAATTCTTCTGTGAGTGTGTATGTCACTGAACTTCTCTCAAACGACTGGACCGATTTTGATCAAATTTTTTGTGTGTGTTCAAGGGGATCTGGGAATGGTTTAAATTCACAATTTTGTCCGCTGGACAATGTTTTTTAATTAATTTTTAATTTATTAGTAGTTGTTGATATAAACTTTTTTTTTGACATTAAATTTGACAACTAACTAAATAATATGTCAATCATTCTTTCGCACTTCAAAACACGGAGATTTATGGCTTTAATAGGTAATCTCCAAAAATATAAATAAAAAAAATTAACAGATATTTCTTGATTATAGGGCGATACGAAAATTCGCCGGCTCTTCTAGTATATTGTAGTACATAATGTACTTTGGGAACACGTCATAATACTTTTAAATGGTGGAGTTAGTACAAATTCGTTGCTTTCAAGAGTGACGTCAGCATAACCACGTCACTAATGGTTTATTTCTTGTTGATTGTCAGTCTCAAGCTATTGAGGTTAACCTCGTAGACGGTTTGATGAATCTTTTATATCTAAAAGGTCTGAACGCTGCGATGGCTCTAGCGAGACTATTTTTAATTTGTACTTTGACCTCTATTTATTCTAACCGACACTCATCTTTGTGACTACACTTACACAGGTGACTACGCGTGACTAGGTAGTTACGGCGGTGACTTATGAGAATTTTACCTACCCCTTCATTAATGATTATATAAATATAATTAATTGTATATGAAGTCGTCACCCAGACGACAGATATCGCTGACGATATATGTATCACATAAAACACAAACAAATTAAGTCGTAGGATATAACTAGTATATAATAATTTCAGAACGGCGCGACCTGTATGGATGGGCTGGATGAGTACCGCTGCGCGTGCGCCGCGGGGTATGCAGGCCGGTACTGCGAGGCTGCGCCCCACGCGGCCCTGGGGACTTCGCCCTGCGCCCACCACGACTGTGTACACGGAGTCTGCTACTTACCTGCACTGGCGTTGCACGTGCGTATACACTCAATATACGTTAGTTAAAAATGTATATTATCTATCAGAGCTCACTGTTGAGCTGCCTCTTCTCACATGGAGAAGGTTTAAGCATTAATCACCACGCTCGCTCAAGACGGGTTGGTGATTTCACGTTTATAATTTGATTATAAGTCCATGTTTTCTCACGATGTTTTCCTTCATCAGTCAGTAATGTCTAAATACTCTTAGAAAGTACATATGACTCGGAAAATCACATTGATACTTGCCAGGTTTCAAACCCTCAGTCATGGTAGGCGGGCCTTTAACCACTAGGCCACTACAACTTATTTTGAACTTTAGTATAATAATAATTAAGACGTTATTGGAGCGCGTGGCCTACGGGTGTATAATTAAATATCAGTGGATCATCTCCAGGATGACATCATGATGGAGAGACCTCTGCTGGCGCCGCCCGACTACCTGTGCAAGTGTGCGCCCGGATACTCGGGTACGTGCACACGCACACACACACACACACACATATGACGGAAATACATAAGACTAATCACACGCATAATAACAAAAATTAGTACACCTTAACAAAAATCGATAGAATAGAATTCATTTTGAATATATTATTATTCTGCTTTAGACTCTAAAACATGTGCTGTCATTAAATCATTGCTTATATACACTTGTAGGTCAAACATATCAGCGCCATCTACCGACTTCTTCAATCAATCAACAGATTTAAGTCTACGAAGTTAATTATCAAAACCTCTTTATAATAATCTATTTATACTTGTGATACATTCTCACATGGTCGTTCTGTACGTGTGTAGGTCGATACTGTGAATACTTGACCTCCCTGACCTTCAACCACAACGACTCTCTGGTGGAACTAGAACCGCTGAGGACCTCGCCGCAAGCTAACGTCACTCTCGGTAAGATAACAAAAATATATTTCATGCTAAAGAGGGCAACCAAGATTTGAGCATGTGTTACCACTTTTGAATAGGAAAGAGGGTGAAAAAGTGGGAAAGGGGGGGGGGAGGGGAGAGCAAACAACACTCTATCACTCTTGAATTTACCTCTCATGTTGCTTAATTAATTTAGCCATCATACCCCAAGTAGGGTCTAATTATGTACATACTTTTTTTATTTAATACCACTTATTAAACACAAAGCAGTTGCCATTTTGTCGATATGAGAAGTAGTCAACTATTTATATAATATTATGATCCATTTAAAACATATAAAACTGTTATTGTGTTTAATTATAGCCACACATATAATATGAAAAAGTGGGTCTCATTAAGAAATAAAAACCTAACGTATTTTTTTTTGTTAGCGTCATCTTTAATAAATAAAAACATACAAAAACATTTTCCTAAAGCTTCCAAGACCTTAATTTTTTTGGATCTTGCAGATAAAAAATCAGTCATCATGCATGATATTGTTACTATTTTCTCGTCTTCCCATTTTCCCAACTTATTTTTATTATTTGTATTATTTAATTCAATTTATTTAATCACAAATATTTTATTTAAATAGAAGAAGATCACTATCTTTGCTCATCTATATTTTGCTGTTTACGTCTGAAGGCTGTATTAACAAAGTGATCTAAGACTATGTATATGTTTAGTTTTCAGCACAAAACAGTTGCACGGTGTTCTAATGTATTTCGGTGACAACGAACACTTGGCTGTTGAACTGTTCAACGGAAGAATAAGAGTCAGCTACGACGTTGGGAACCATCCCACCTCCACCATGTACAGGTATTAAGAAATGACTCAAGCTATAGTCTTCTTCTTCCTGGCAATTTCCCAGCTTTAGCCAGGATCTGCCATATATATTACCTAAAACCAAAGAATCCCTCATCAAAAACACAAAATTCATCCGCAAGATACAGAGCATTCTAAGTCCATCACAAGTAGTATGAGGAAATTAAGAAATAGTTAACGATAGACAAATAATAAGACTAACTGACAGACATGATGGAAAGGAATCGAATTTAGGACTATGTAGATAATAGTAAAAACTTCTTTTATATAAGGACATTCGAAAGCCTTTAATATATGTAATACAAATTAATAATATCTATCTACTAATTTTTTTAAATGCGAAAGTAACTCTGTATGTCTGTTACGCTTTCACGCCTAAACCACTGAACCGATTTTAATGAAATTTGGTACAGACATAGAGTTGACCTTGAGAAAAACATAGGATAGTTTTTATCACAGACTTTTGAAAGGTTCTCTTGGAAACGCGATATAACCGAACTCCACGCGGGCGAAGCCACGTCGGAAAGCTAGTTGAATATAAAATCAACTAAAGAATTTCTATTAAAGTGTTGCTTTTTGCTTTGGTAGAACTCTAAATGAATGTTTAAATTAAGTTTTTTTGTAATTTTATATAATATTTTTCAGCTTCGAAATGGTTTCTGATGGTAACTACCACAAAGCTGAACTATTGGCTATCAAGAAGAACTTTACCCTCCGCGTAGACGACGGGCCCGCCCGGTCCATAATAAATGAAGGTAGGTATAGAAAAAACATTCTCAGACAAAAAAATACATAGTAAGTGGATGAAGTGAATCTTCGTTATGTGGAAATGATAATAAATTATATGTGCATGAAATCAAACTAAAAAAAATAATTAATATTATGAAAAAAATTATAAAAAAATTAATATAGATCAATATGTACGTATTTCAGCTAATCTAACGACGCTCGCACTGTTTACTTCGCAGTAAGCAAAAATACTTTCTCCTACTATCTATATTTGTGAAATTTTCCTCCCTCAGCGTAAATGTTTAACGTTGGAGGTCGCATAGAAGTTTCACTTCTAAAACACTGTGAACCACAATAGAACCCAAATGTTTTATCAGCTCAAACTAAATATAATTGTATTTATTAATCTTTCAGGCAGCAACGAATTCCTTCGCCTGGAGCGTCCGATGTTCGTCGGCGGAGTGCCGCCAGATGTCGCTAAGGACGCCTTCAGCAAGTGGCATCTCAGAAACATTACTAGCTTCAAAGGTACGTCATATATTAATTTTCTTTATAGATTGCCTTAGACATAATACCACAGACTTCTGAGAAAACGTTGTTTTCTCACTCGGTGCAACCAATAGAATGAATGCTCACTAAGAATATTTGGCCCTTTAAAGACAGTATCAGGTGATTTTAATAATGTATAGAGGAGGGTAGAACAGTGTTTACAAATTCATTTAAAGATAATGAATAACAATATACAACTATTGGAGTCAGTGGTGGCCTAGTGGTTAAAAGGTCCGCCTCTCATGCATGAGGGCGTGGGTTCGATCTTGGCCCTGGCAAGTACCAATGTGATTTTTCCGAGTCATATGTACTTTCTGAGAGTATTTAGACATCACTGACATACGGTGAAGGAAAACATCGTGAGGAAACCTTGACTTATAGTTTAACAATTATAAGTTTGAAATCACCAACCCGTCTTGAGCAAGTGTGGTGATTAATACTCAAACCTTTTCCATGTGAGAAGGAGGCCTTCTGATAGGATGATGATATGACTCCCAATATGGATTGCGCATCAGTAGTATTAAAAATACATGCAATCCTAATTTTTTACTTTTTTAACACCAACCCCTATTTCTTATATTTTAAAACAACGTATGCCAGGTCAGCTAGTATATATATTCCGTGTATCTTTCCAGGGTGTCTCAAAGAGGCGTGGATCAACCACAAACGTGTAGACTTTGTAAACGCGGCCCGAGCGACGCGGACTACCGCGGGCTGCGGGGGCGGAGGCCTAGCGGGCCCCGGGGCGGAGGACCCTCCCGCAGCCCCACACGCACTGCAGGAAGACGGCGCTCATGAACCAGTATGTAACAAAATACACATTTATCCTACTAATACTATAATTGCGAAAGATTGTGAGTGTGCGTGTATGTTTGTTACTTCTTCACGCTCAAACGGCTGAGCCGATTTTGATTAAATTTTGTATACAGGAAGCTGACGTCCAGGAATAACATATAGGCTACTTTATATACCGGATATCCGCGGATAACACCGCGGGGCGCAGCTAGTATTATATAAAAGAAAGTCGTGTTAGTTGCACTATTTATAACTCAAGAACGACTGTACGGATATGGATGAAGATTGGTGGAAAAGGAAATAGGATACTTTGCATTCGATCAAAAAGAAATTTTAAAAATCTAAAATCTTATTATTTATTGCCTTTAAGTAGGAACAGAGTTTGACCGGTCAGCTATACATTTTTAATATTAAAAGTAACACAGACGAAGTTGCGAGCAAAAACTAGTGTATTATATTGTATATCAGAACAATTTTCATATAACTTAAGCCTGAATTTTTAAATTTATACAAACCATAAAAGAATCTAAGCTATGAACTATGTACATTAAAACTAATTTCTCAATGAAGCAATACTTCGAATTCAGCATATATTATAATCTTCACTAACATATATATATATATATACTATATATATATATACTAGAAGACCCATCGAACTTCGTATCGCCCTACTGCTAATAAATTAAAAATTAATTAAAGAAACATTGTCCAGAGGACAAAATTGTGAATCTAAACAATTCCCAGATCTCCTTGAACACACACAAAAAAATCATCAAAATCTGTCCAGTCGTTTGGGAGAAGTTCAGTGATATACACACTCACAGAAGAATTATACATATATATATATTTTTGTTCATCATCTTCTCTCAGGACCCGTGCGTCCCCAATCCGTGCGCGCGCGGCGGCCGCTGTGTCCGCGAGGCCGGCTCCCCTTCAGACTACACGTGCCGCTGCCGCGCCGGCACCGCGGGGGCGCAGTGTGAGCGACGAGCCTCTGTTGGTAAGACATACACTCATAATAATAATAAACTATAAAACAAATAACAAAATAAAAACAGAGTAAAACTTATCCTATGTATACAAAAAAGGAAAATAATATAACATAACAACCACAACAGGACAAATATTAATGTTAAAAATCATCAATAATAACAAGTGTGCAGCAGCATTAGATAAATATATGTATATATATATATAAATCATTTAAATTTAACTTGCAACACTATATGTAATCTTATTTTGATCTTCCACCTTGCAATAGTAATATAAGTTTTGTAAGGTGCAAAATTTTATTCTTTGGCAACATTTTGATTGGGACGTTAAGTTATTTCTACTAAAAGGTCATTATAATATGCCCAAAACCAACATCTTAAATGTAGACGATAAACAAATTATTTTACATTTAATTTTAAGGACTCTGTGTAACTTTGACAATATGATAAACAATACTTACTTTAATTCAAATATTGGTGTATTTTTGACCAAAAAAGCAAAGATAATAATATTCCAAGACACTGCATTTTCAAACTAATAGCTAATTTTTATCTTTAAAGGCGGTACACCAGTCATAACCCAATCGAAACTACCGCCGCGGAAACAAGTCATTAACAACGTGCAAGCATCGCCAGGTGAATATAGTAGATATATTATATTATTGAGAAGCCTTTCTATTTATTAATTTATTTATTTATTTATTGGATTGCCAAAAAAGTATACACAAATACAACCATTTAAATTAATTCAATTAAGATGCTACATGCTACCTCAGTTACAGGCAACCACTTCATGCTGAAATAGTAACAGAGTCCATGTAATCACAGAGTTAACATTTTAGTTTAAATACAGTGCATGAAGAACAAACAACTAGAAAGTAAAATCTAAGCTTAATTAATTAAACATTTTTTAATTGTTTTCTTTAATTCAAGAGGCCTTCCCTAGAATACATCAGTATTAGTATTTTTAAAAAGAGAGTTAAACTTTAATGTCATTCTATTCAAAGGTGAATAATGAGCGAGATTACTTTTGCATTTTTTTGTATTGAATGGAGTATACACGAGCATTCTTGGGAGTTTAACTGGTGCATTAAAGTATAGTTTTGAAAGTAATTGCGGGCTGTCTATATCTTTATTTATAATTTTGAACAGAAATGTATGATTAACATTATTTTATTCTCAGCGGCGCCATCACAGAAACAATATCCCGACCAAGCCTCTGCACCACAGATGCCGTCGACAGCAGCCTGCAGAAAGGTAACAATAGATATATTAAAAAATCTTCTTCCACCTGTCAATTTCTCAGCTTTAGCCAGGGTCTGCCTTACATGTCGTGAATACTTTTTGCTAATTGTTTTTACGACCGGCCGCCTGCCTGACATCAGCCCTCTTTGGGAATGTATTAATCAGTGATGTCTAAATACTCTTATAAAGTAGGTACATATGACTCGGAAAAATCGCATTGGTACTTGCCAGGATCGAACCCGCGCCCTTGTGAATGAGAGGCGGGCCTTTTAACCACTAGGCTACCACTGACTTAAATTAATATGTTAAAAAAATATTGCTATAAAATTATAAAAGACGCATATTGTATATATCGAATTTAATACAAATTCGTTGTTTTTAAAGAGACGCCAGCCTCACTGACGTTACTAATATCACGTCTTCTAGAACGTTCCATGATATTTTAAAATGAAATTTCAATTGTTCTTAATGTTCCCGTATTTCTCGAAAGTTTTTTATAATCACATTATTCAATGGTCCTCACTTACTGAACTCTGCCGTCGTGCGTCCAAACGTCGTATTTATACCAAGATTCAAACTGTTTTTGATTTCGTTTTACTTTTAACAATAGTCATGAATACTAATGAGTTTTAATAAGAATTGATGACAGGCTAGTTACTTCCATGTTGCACGTCATTAAAGCTCATAATTTATCAATTTAAGAATGGTGAAGTTAATCTACTTTCGATAACAGGAAGCGACTCGTGAGTTTATAACAGAAGGCTCGTGTAGGAGCCGCAGACCTGTCCGCGGGGCCCGCTGCACCCGGTCTGTGGGGCCCGGAGACAGCGGCGCCTGTCCGCGAGCGACCTGCTGCGGGCCTAGGAAGACTAAGAAAAGGAAGGTTAGCTACTATTACAACTAGTATCGTCATCAGCCTATCAGAGCCCACTGCTGAGCCTCTTCTCACATGGAGAAGGTTTGAGCATTAATCACCACGCTTGCTCAAGACGGGTTGGTGATTTCAAACTTATAATTGTGAAATTATAAGTCCAGGTTTCCTCACGATGTTTTCCTTCACCGTAGGTCAGTGGTGTCTAAATAATCTCAGAAAGTACATATGACTCCGGAAAATCACATTGATACTTGCCAGGTTTGAACCCGCGCCCTCGGCAACGAGAGGCCGACCCTTTAACCACTAGGCCACCACTGACTACAACTAGTATAAACCAAACAGTTTAAATTGTCTCAGTTGTCTAAATAGCTCACTAGAGGCGCCACTGTGTATGCAGCAAGTGTCACTCTATTTGGTCGTACAGTAATACCCCGCTTAACGCGACCCCGTTGTGCGCGGTTTCACTATAACGCGAATTTCAAAAATTTATTCAGATTTGGACATATTGCAGAGTATAGACAATAATGATGACCGTGTCTTGAACATGTGTCAAACGATTAAAAACAGTGTTTGGTGTTATGAACGTATTTTACAAGAGCGTAAACAAAACGCTACCCAAAAGACAATACATGTAATTTTTTCGTAAAAAATAGGAGTACCTATGTATTGTATAGTGTTCTTAGAATTAAAGTGATTGATTAAAATGATTTTTATACATATTATACTCTCTTGTATCAACTGTTTGAACAGTAATTAAATCTGAGATTTTCGCGAGTCATTTAAACGAAACAAATATTTTGTGGATATACTATTCGACTTTATTTTTGATAAAAATCACTCGCACCTCGTCTTAATGATCACGGTTGCTGTAAAGTAACCGAAACGTCGGGAGTATGTAGTTTTTGATTGTTTGACCAATGTTGTCATAATAATAAATCTCAGTTTATCAATTTAATCCATTCTAATTTTCGTTCAACTCCATCAATCACATTGGAATGTGTGTTTAATCATTAAGAAATTAAATATCAATAACTACATAAGTCTTACTATATTTAATTAATGTTAATTTGTTTCAGATACGTCTCGTCTGTTCAGACGGCACCCGGTACACCAAAGACATTGAAATAGTGAGGAAATGCGCCTGCGGGAAGAAATGTCCAGCGAAGAACACCTACCTACACTAAATGTAGACCTTACACACTATCCTGTACGCCTTGAAACACCCAACACATGTGTACACACCTTTACAACATTTAAAACGTCGTTTTCATAATAACGACCCGATTTTTATAATTGGTTTACACATAAGTATTTACCAAAAAAAGCGTAACTTAATTTTTAATTCATTAAATTAATAAGATGGCCTATGTATGGCCTAAAATGAGAAATACAATATTATTTCATTTAAACGCTGACTGCCATTTTAATTCTTAGATATTCTAATCGTATATATTAATGTTTTATATTTAGTGGTAGCCATGTACCCCATAGATGTAATAAGTATACTCAAAGATAAGTAATTTATGCATTTACTGTTACTGCGACCTAGAGGCTAATTTTAAATATGAAACATGATTTTTTTAACATTATTGTGTTCATTTTATATATCATTTAGGTAATTAATTGTTAAGTAATTTGTATTAATAAGTTAATTTTAAATTATTCTCTTGCCATAAATTATATTTTGGTCAAATTATCCGATTATAATATTTTGATCAAATTATCCGATTTTTGTGACGCGACCACACGCTGTATCCGTTTTGGTTTTAATAAACCTTTTTTAATGAATCCTCTTTTGTAAATTATGGATTATTTATTAAAGTTTATTTGCTTGTTTAGTGTAAATTTGTAGTTAAGATTATTGTATAGAAAATAATTTAGATGTCACGCATTCCCTATTTATTTTCTTGTGTTTCTTTAAACTCATAATTAATTATATATTTTTTTCAGTATTAATAATTTGTTATTTAGAGAGAAGTCTATGTTTTTATATACTCAAGTCTATCGTACGGCACAAAGCTACAGATCTTTGGAGATTTCTCTTTGCTAGTGTAAGCTTTAAGTTACATACCATAGACAGTACATGCGCTTTTTATCGATAATTATTGAAAGGTCATATTGTCTATGAACTTTATAATTTATTTGATGTAATAAAAGAGGATGTTAGATAAATAATTTGTTTTTATTTGAACATAACCCAGTATAGTATTATGCAAAATTATAGAAAAGTGTAGATATGATTTCCTGAAAATATGATGAGTTTTTAACGCGTATTTCTGAACTTGAGACTGAAAAGAAACAATACAAAAAAAACTATGGAACTACTCGAACACAAAAATAGCTTATATGGAGCAATAATCAAAATGTACCTACTGGAATAGAAATACAAGACATCCCAAAATCTAGTGGCGAAATTAAAGAAAATCTCGCAAATATAGCAAATAATACTGCAAAAGTGTTAGATCTAAGCTGACTTGGATATCAAAGACGTATACAGAATTGACTCAAAAGACGGGTCAAATCCTATCAGAGTCGAATTAACAACTGTCACTATGAAAGAAAAAATGATAAGTGGTGTCAAAAAATTCAACAACCTTAAATCTAAGGAAGAAAAGTTAAATACATCACATCTACATTATCTATCTTCTTGTCTTCTATATATATAAAAATGGATTGCTGTTCCTTAGTCTCGCTAAAACTCGAGAACGGCTGAACGGATTTATCTTATCTTAGTCTTGAAATGTTCGTGGAGGTTCAGGGAAGGTATAAAAGCTGAAAAAAACTGATTCATTACTGGGATAATCATAAAAACAGCCCTTTTCTATTTCCCATACAAACTTTTTTTTTGACATTAGATTTGACAACTAACTAATATGTCAATCATTCTGTCGCACTTCAGAACACGGAGATATTTTATGGTTTAAAAGTAAACTCCAAAAAAATAAATAAGAAATTATTTATTTCTCGATTGTGGCAGTACGAAGTCTGCCGGGTCAGCTAGTTCACAATAAAAAAGCCTATTTACTACATAGTATATTCCCGAAAACTTTACTAATAAAACGCAGAACCTCTTCTTTATGGCTAGAAATTTTTATAAAAGTCATGACTACACCTTTTGCTGGACGTCTCGTAGTGTTGTCTACATTCGTAAAAACGAAAATTCGCCACAAATAAAAATAAAGGATGAATCAGATATTGAAAATCTTATAAAATCAAAATGACTAGTTTTAAGCTTAATACCAATTTTCTTTGTTATGTTTACGATAATACTATATCTTTTAAGCAACTTTTTACTACACTACACTGTTTCACATTACTACATAATTCACTTACAAAATGCACTTACAAATTCAATATACACATAGCTAGCCCATTGTTAATATACATAAATGCTACAAACACACAAATACAGTCATACGACGGAAAACTACCTCGATAAAGAAAGTGTATACTATATAGCTCCTATAATGATGACTTCAAATAATATACAGGGTGACTGGTGAATTACTATCGATACTTGAGGACGTGATATTTGACGATCATATATGAAAAAATAAAAATTAATATAACATAAATATTAATAAACTTCTAAGTAAAGTTAACCAAAAGTTATGTAATTAATTACGCATCGTGTGAACACCCTACAGATTAGGTATACACACACTCGCGCGCGGCGGCGTGTTGTTGTATCAGCACGCCGCCGCACGCGTCCACACTTGGAACACTTGGAACGTGTCCACACTTTATTTATTTATACGGAAATTTGGTCAAAAATTAAGTACCTATTTTTTTTACATAATTCGAATGAGAATCATGTACCGAGTATTCTCCTTAAATATTGATAGTAGGTACATAATTCACCAGTCACCCTGTATTGTTGGGAAATAACTTAGACATCTTTTCTGTATCGCAATCGATGATTTGCGAAATTGAAGACACAGCCTAACATATTTACTCGAGTATTATAATTATAACTCAAAACATAAGAAGTATTCATTGTAATATGAGTGTGAATTTGTGATCTTAATTGCCATCCTTAACACAAATTTAGACGTAATAGTGCTTACAGAGTGTTGTCTTTTAAATAAGTTAACAGTTCCATCACTTAGAGGTTACAAATGCTTTTATAATAAAAATAATAATCAAAAAGGCATAGTGTTGTATATTAAAGACCAGTTTGTATTAATTGAAGAACCATTATTTCAAGAAGGAAACTGCATTATTCTAAAATTAAAAGATATAATTATTATGGCCATATATCGATCACCATCTTACAAAAAAATTAATAATTTTTTAATATCATTTAATTCTTCAAAATTATTTACATTACAGAAATATTGTTGTCATTGGAGATTTAAATATAGACATAAGTAATGAGCTTCAAAATGAGAACTCTGAAAAATATTTACACTTAGCCGCTTACCACGGCTTACTCCCAAAACATCTCAACTCATGATGCTACTGGATCATGCATTGATCTTGTACTACTTAAAAGTAAGAATCCTTCCATTACGATGGTTCTTAAAACATCAATTAAACATAAACCGGTAATCTGCTCAATGAAAATGAAACAATATACTGAAATTATTAAATCTATTGTCACAAAAATTAACTATGAAAAATTAAACTTAGAAATACAAAACATCGACTTAACGCCGGTATATACTACTTATGATCCAAAACTTTCAATGCAATATTTAGCGCAATTAAATCAAGTATACAAAATAATACCCAAACAATTACATAATAAAGCCAGGCGCTCTCCTGGTAATGAAATGATTAAATTAATACAGAAATTTTTGTAACAATATATTGAAGAAAGTTAAACGAAATTATGATAAAGTACAGGTAGAAATGGCTAAAAATAATAATAAAAAACTGTGGAATGTATTTAAAAATATAATTCATACACATACACAATTTGAAAGCAATAAAGAGTTATTAAATATATTAAATAACCCGCAATCCTCTATTTATCACAGAAATAATTATTTTGTAAATTTAGGTAAGAATTTGGCACAAACATTTGATAATTTTGATAATCTAGATACTGCTGATGATGACCGAAATATAATAGGCAATAAAAAATCATTAGTCCTAATGCATACGAATGAAAACGAAATAAAAAACATTATTATGAATATGAAAACTGAATGTTCTGTTGCATGGGATGGAATTTCAAATAAAACTATAAAACAAACACATAATATACAAGCTCCACCATTAGCGTATATTTTTAATAGATGTCTAAACATGGACATTTTTCCAAAATTTAAAAAAAGTCTGAAGTTCGTCCAATTTTTAAGAGTGGTGATAAAACAATTCTTAGTAATTATAGACCGATCTCTATACTTCCGTCACTATCAAAAATTTTTGAAAAATTATTAAACAAAATATTAGTAGAATATTTAGAAAAAAATAATCTAATTAATTATAACCAATTCGGCTTCAGAAGCGGCAAGTAAACCTCGCGAAAACATTTGATACTGTGTCAATCCCAATTTTAATTAAAAAATTAGAGAGCATTGGCGTAAGAAGCAAAAAACTTAAGCTATTCGAAGACTATCTTTCGGAAAGATATCAATGCGTTAAAATTGATACCTATTATAGCAATGATAGTACCGCAAGGCAGTGTTTTAGGCCCCAATCTTTTTCTTGTTTATATAGACCTACTTATACGGCTAGAATTAGATCAAGCTCAGATAATATCATACGCTGATGACACTGTACTTATGTTTGCTGAAGACACATGGCCTGAAGTATTTGACATAGCTCAGAGGGCTTTCAATCGAGTTGCTATTTGGCTAAAAAAATATTCATTAAACACTAGCAAAACAAAATATAAAAATTTCTCAATTAGAAAAAGTACTAATTTGTCGGATAACCTTCATTTAATTTCCCATATCTGCACACAATCAAAATCTACAAATTGTTCTTGCCCAAATCTAGAGCGGGTTAATCATATAAAATATTTGGGAGTGACTTTAGATTTTAACTTAAATAAAAAAAAAAACACATTAATATACTTAGCGGAAGATTAAATAAAGTGATCTACATATTTAAAAATCTTAGACATGTAGTAGAAGAAGAACTATTAAAACGAATATATCTGGCTTTATGGCAGTCTCTTATCACATATTGTATTTCTCAATGGGGGGGTGCATCAAAAACCACGATAAAAAAAATGAAGTAGCCCAACGAACAATATTAAAAGTAATGAAGTTTAAACCCTATTTTTATCCAACAAGTTTATTGTATCGAGTTACACATGTACTCACTGTGAGGCAGCTGTTTGTGTTAAGCGTATTGCTTAAACAGTATAGTAAACTAAAGTACGATCCTTCGTTTTTGAGTAAGAGAAGAAAACATATCGTAGTTAACTTACCAGAAGGTCTTAATACCGCATTTATTCAAAAATTTTTTAGCTTTCTTTGACCTTATTTATATAATAAAATTAGCAAAGCTTTAAATGTATACAGTATGAATAAGGTAAACTGTAAGCAAAGCATAATTTCTTCCTTTAAAAATTTATCGTATGAAGACACGGAAAATCTACTTAACATCCTACATTAAAATTAACTTTCTATCGAAAATACATCTGATTTAAATTATTTCAATATAATATGTACATAGAGGGTATTCTATCTCAGAAACAAAATACTATAATGAACACACACACACACACACACACACACACATACATACATACATACACGCACATCACATTACAATAATAGATATAATTTGTTGTTAAAATAATAACAGTTGCAATTCTATAAAGTTAGTAAAAGATATTACAATTAAGTTTTTGGCTAGCCAAATTTTTATGAATAGCCTTTTCCGATGGGAGTCGGCGCTGGTCTCTGAGACACAGGTTCACCTAGTTCAGCAACAGATGATTCCGTTTTGTTACGTGGTGCATACTTTAAGGAACTTATTGTTAACTGAAATACCTTGTAATTGCTTTTTTGGAGACAATAAATTATTATTATTATTATAGAAGAAACAAAAAGCAATACAACTAACCAAACATCGCTCTTCAGGTTACCGTTCTGAAACAATAGTAATACCTGTAAAATGGGAATTTGAATGAAAATAGCATGTACATGAAGCACCCATGGTTCAATATATGTATTAAAAAATTAAGTTAGAATACAAATATTACAGAGTTATCTACATATCGGGTTAGATCAACAAGCTTTTAATAAATATGCGTCAGTAACAACAAAAGATCGTGTATAAATTCTGATGACTACAATAAATGGCGGTGAAGGAAAATATGGTGTGGAAACCTGGACTTACAATTTCACAATTATAAGTTTAAAATCACCGACCCGTCTTGAGCAAGCGTGGTGATTAATGTTTAAACCTTCTCCATGAGACTAAAGAGGCCTTTGCTCAGCAGTGGGCTCTGATAGGCTAAAAAAATAAATGAATAAATAGCATCAAACTAAAGTCCTTTTATTCGATTTTATTCGCTGTCGCATACAGAGTTTTCTTTTGAGTTCTTATTATTTTCACTAAATTAATATAAATTTTATACACTGGTAATATTACTGACAAGGCCATCACAATTTGTGTATTGTCATTGTATGTAGTTGTCAAAATATAATTTCCTTGTAAACTGCTATATATTATTCACATTTTGTGTTTGTTTTGTTGTTGGCTGTGTTTTTAAAGGATTTACTGTGAAATTAGTACTATTTCGTATGTTGATAGATCTTCTGAAATTTCATTTAGTTTCAAAAAGAATAAACGTGTATATATATTTGTAATTACAATATTTTTAGGTCGTGCATTATCGGCCTTGCGTAGGATTATATCCGGTTAAAAATTATAAAATGGATCCGGTGGTAGAAGAGCAAGAAACCACAATGTTCAATCCTATAACGTTGAGTAAGTTTTGAAACAAAATACTTTACCTGATAATGTCTTGCATCACATTCAGGCAACTTTAGCATAACTTACATAGTTAATGAGCCAAAAACAAGATGAAAGTAGCAAAAACGCAACCTACAGTATTACTTTAACACACTACAGAAATTCTCACGATCTTAATTGAACCCCAATATATATACACATTTGATAGAATTATTTATTTCGTCGAAACATATATAAAATTTCTGAATATCAATCTGTCAAAACCATAGTTTTCGACTGAAGTTTGAGAGCAAAAAAATAAAATAATAATTACTTCTCAATATTATATTTCGTCCAATATGTATAACAAAGATATTGCCTAATATATATTTCATGATTCCACTGTGAATGAAGACAGTAAAGAAAAATAATAATAAATATATTTTTTATTTCTTTGATTACTACATTATTTTGTTAAATTAATTTCTACTAACTTCCCTATTTAGTATAAATTTTGTTACAACTAAATCATATTTTAAAATATCAGATCATTTACATGTAGATGACAAGTAGTTGTTTTACAAAAACATATATGACATTCTTACTCATTTAAATAAAACTAATATTTTTAAATATACTATCACATTTCTTAATAAAAACTACACACTCGTCTTTATGATCACACAAACATCTAGAGTTTGTAATATAAAATAATAAAAAATATCAAAGTCTTATATATTATTACTATATTTCAGCTCTAAGTTTCCTCTCTTCATACGGCTGGTATATTGTCGGAGCGAGTGCCGTTATCATGTATGCAATGAATCAGTTGAGGCCTCGTTTAGACAAATGGAGGGAGGCCCAAGAAGATGCTCGGTATCACAAAGGTGAGAGACTGTAATAATTATTAATGTTTAGTTTATATTAACTACTTGTAACTAATTATCTAAATACTACAATCTATTTCCTGTATTAGTTTTACTTATATGTATAATGTAGGTTAATCACTTTATTATATTAGGTTCCATCATTGAGTAAATTATATTGGGCGAAATGAGGTTCCAGGAAAACTAAGATAACTTACTTATATGTATATTATAATAAGAATTACATATTAAAACTTATAATCTACACCTAAGACTACATGATTGACCCGATGTTATGATAGCAATACCATTCCATAGCTTGTGTGTATCAGGAATCTTCTGGTTCACACGCTTGGTGTTCGTTCCGCGGAGTCAGCGGCGTCAAGAGTTATATATTTTATACATACAACGATGTTGCCCCGGCGATGTTCTTTTATTTTTTATATTATGTAACAAGTACCTTCTTATTATGTATTAGTTATGCTTGCTCGGTATTGTTTAAAAAATAATATAATGTCAAGTGTAATATAGGTAGATGACATTATAATATTAGGTTCCGTCTATTATTCTTGTTACTTAGCACAATACATATACTACAAATAAATCATAGTTTATTGAATACAATAATCTGGAAAGACAATCAGAAAAAAAAGAATTTTTCCTCCTAAACTGAAAATAAAAATTTGAAATACATATATTAAAAAAATACTAGGCATTGAATATTAATAGAAATTGTAATGTCTTGCTTGTACACAATTGTATTATTGCTTATATTTTTATAAAATTGGGATAATTTATAATGAAAACTAAATAAAATAAAATAATACATTTGCTAACTTTTTATATAAATAATAGGTATTAAATAATAATATACATAATTCACTCCAGTTAGAGGTAGCTCAAAGCTCCGATAGCTCAATAGTTAAGGTGCCTGAAACATGTTTGAGTTCTGAAACATTTTGTTCAAGATTCGGATCTCGGTGCTGCCAGGAGGCGAGCTGAACAAGAGGCCAGAGAAAAACAACAGAGAGCGTTGGAGGAAGCTTCTAGAAGAGCAGCGGAGGAAAAAAAACTGGTACATATACAGGGTGACTGGTGAATTACTATCAATATTTAAGGAGAATACTCGGTACATGATTCTCATTCGAATTATGTAAAAAAAATAGGTACTTAATTTTTGACAAAATTTCCGTATAAATAAATAAAGTGTCGACACATTCCAAGTGTTCCAAATGTGGACGCGTGCGGCGGCGTGCTGATACAACACCACGCCCCCGCCGCGTATGTGTGTGTGTGTGTGTATCCCTAATCTGTAGGGTGTTCACACGATGCGTAATTAATTACATAACTTTTGGTTAACTTTACTCAGAAGTTTATTAATATTTATGTTATATTAATTTTTATTTTGTCATATATGATCGTCAAATATCACGTCCTCAAGTATCGATAGTAATTCACCAGTCACCCTGTATATAAGGTTTTATATGATACTAGTTGTTGCCCGCGTCTTTGTCTGCGTTAGGTTCAGAATTAAACTATTGAAACCATTTATTTTGCTACACACGTACATAATACATAGATTATTCAGAAGAAAATAATTAAATTAAAGAATACAGTGATTTTCAGATGGCCCCTCTATAGAAATAGATAGCTGACTGGGGCACTCTATTCCTTAAAATCAGTATATAAGAAGATTTTGGATTTTATCAACTTAGTTTTTTTTCTTTTTCAATCAGATGTAAAGTATCCTATGTCCTTTCTATGTTCTAATCTATTTCTCCACCAATCTTCATCCATATCTGTACAGTCGTTCTTGAGTTATAAATAGTGTAACTAACACGACTTTAATGTATAAAGATTACCATAGACAGAACAGATTATGTATTGTCAGTGTTGTTATCACAAAAATGATTATTAAAGAAATATATGTGTTTGCTTGTTTTTATAAATGTTATTTAATTTTTTAATTATTCTTGGTCCTATCATTGTGTAGGTTAGTTAGTCTTACTGTCATAATGAATTTTTTATATATTTGACATCAAAAATTATTACAAAACTAGATAGAGTAATAACATTTGATGGTCTTAAAAGAAAATACTTTTCGTCAATATATAAATCATATTTTATATACAGCTTAGTTGAGAAAAGTAATATATTGTTACAAGTGGCGCCATCTGTACTAATCATACTATACTATAATCCTTACAATTATTATGATGAGTGATTATAATGAATGATAATACTGAACCATTGTAATGTATCAACATAAGTATCACGTGTTTGTAAACTATCAACACTGGCTTCACACATCTTGTAACACATTACTGGAAGTAACGATGAACATTAAGAATCAACACTGAAACTGTACCTCGAATAATGAGCAAAACCACAGGCAACAGTATGTTAAATATATATTATTTGTTATTTACAGCGTGAGGAACGGAAGAAAGCCGAGGCTCTGGAACGACTTCAGAAATATGGAAGTGATTTAGGAGTTGGCAGGACATTGAGAGATGATGGTTAGTAATATATATTCATATATATCTTATATATAAAATTCTCGTGTCGCGGTGTTAGACAGAGAACTCCTAAGAAACGGAAGGACCGATTTTGATGAAAGTTTGTGAGCATATTAAATAATAAATAGGTCTGAGAATCGGCTAACATATCTATTTTTCATACCCCAAAGTCATAAGGGTTGTTGTAGCATCAAAAAATACATACAACCCAAAAGTTTTACATTTTTATCACCAACCCCTATTTTTTAACATCACAAAACAATGTTTACTGGGTCAGCTAGTGTATATATATATTAAAATTACCTTTAAACTACATACCTACTAAGTGACATGGAATAAATGCCTTAGAATGAATTACAAGCAGACCTCTTCAGTGAGTTAAATTTAGAAATACGGCACTACTTTGTAATATTTAAGTACAATAATATTAGCAAACAAAAAAAATATATCCCTACTAATATTAAAAATGCGAAAGTAACTCTGTCTGTCTACGCTTTCACGCCTAAACCACTGGACTGATTTTAATGAAATTCGGTACTGAGATAGAGTTGACCTTGAGAAAGAACATAGGATAGTTTTTTATCCCAGACTTTTGAAAGGTTCTCTTGGAAACGCGATATAACCGAACTCCACGCGGGCGAAGCTGCGGGCGGAAAGCTAGTGTATATATAATCTTACTTCTCTCAGAAGTGTTACCCCTTTTTAATGCCCTACTCCCAACCAATACACTACTCGACTCATTTAATAACTCAATACTACATATTCTACTACAATAAATATATGTTTCAGATTTTCTTCCTCTGAGCGGTGGAGCTTCAACATCCTCGTACCGAGCACCCAAGAGGTCTGCTTGCAGCCGGGGAGGCTGTGGCAGATAGACATACACACACACACACACACACAAACACACACACAAACACAGATATATATACAAATCATAGTATATCGTCGATGAAGTACCAATACCTCCTAAGTGTTGAGAATCTAATTTTAGACCAGAATAAAAAAACTGTTTAAAAAAAGTATCTTATTTATTTTGATCAACTATTGATAGTAAAATAGTTTCTAATAAATTACCTTTTATAAGTTACAAATGAATATGTTCATGTTTACATTTTATAGGTATTTAGTTACTTGGTACAAATTTTTCTCGTTCAATGCTTTTTCAAATGTAAACATACAGACGGTTTCTTCAGTTTCTGAACAATACTTCTTGTATGTGTTATATAGATCAGTCATTGAACGAAAAGATAGTTCTAAATATAATTTGTTGCTGCAGTTGGAAGATATTTCCATAAAATAAATATAAATGAAGCAATTCGGTCACTCAATAGATATTTTCACATAGCTCAAGAATATGTTCGGCAAAGAATTATTGCATAGGTGTGAAGTCAATCTATGTGAATATGAGTTTTATTTCTATTGTAATAAAAAAGTACTTTTGGACTAAATTGTCACTTAGGAGGTATTGGTACTTCATCAACGATATATAAAAAATTACTAAATCCAATTGAATCCTTGTTTTAATTATAAATTGAGTATATTTCAATGTCTCATATATATATGTTACTGTATGTCTTATATATAAAATAAAGTTATATGTTTTTTACTTGTTTTTAATAGAAATTGTATAATTTGGTGTATTAAAGTATTATGGGGTTTTGCAACAATACTGTGTTGAAAAAAACTTTAGCCAACGGAATTGTATCAGGTATAAGTAAATAAAGATTGTATATATGTAATATACTTTGTTTTTCATCATTTTTGATAAATTCAGTCTAAAATAATTGAAATTTAACAATAGGGAATAGGGGGATTCTAGCGTCACGGGTGGGACACTTGTACCTCGATTTTCAGCGTTTGTAGCTTATTTACGCTAATTGTATCAATGATATCTAATTTGTTTATATAGAATATAATAAATTTATCAATGTTCTTTTATAGGTACAATAAAGACGGGAATAACAACATGTAAAATTTAATAAAGAAGACAGTAAATGTTTGTCACGGGTGGGACGAAGTTGTGACATTCTTGTTACACATGCATCATATTTAATAAAACCCTGCTAGATGATAAAACTTTGTAATGCAGACTACAGTATTTCTTTGAGACAATAAACTAAACTTCACATTTTAATAGAAAATAATGTTCTATTATTTACACATATTTTTACAAAAAATAAATTATGTCACGGGTGGGACTTTCACTGTCACGGGTGGGACACGTATTTACTGATTACAAGGAGTCACTTATAAGTTTTTATTTCTTGTTATGGATGCTAGTTTCATCATGGGAGTCAGTTCAGTAGCTTGGGTCTGCATCAAGGTTTACATTTTAAACACTCAGCTTGACAGCTTTGCATCTTTTCAGATCCAAATCAGCATTAGATTCATTAATCAAGTTTGCAACTTAATAAAAAATAAAAAAAATATTAATATACTAATATTTTTAAAGTATCGTGCAATTTTAAGTATTTTGTATCAATATACATAATAATTAAAAAAAAAAAGAAAAACTTTAAAAAATTACATCAACTTATTTGTTTACTTTCCCGTAGAATCCCCCCAAAAAAATACAAGCATACTGCATTAAGGAAGATAAAATGAAATAAAAAAACAAACTTCACTTCATAGTAGCAAAAACAGTTATCATTTTACTGAAATAATGTTTTTTATGAAATTATGATTAGAAGAAGGAATAGTTTCTATAAAATGTCTGTCATTTTGCTCGATCCACATTTACATATTAAGAGACCAGACGAAATCTCTCGTCATTCCATGTATTCACGGTGCGTGTGTCGGGTCCATCGTTGTAGTGAGAGGAGCTTCAACAGTGTCTGTGACTTGTGACCCAGGTGTAGGTTTAAGGGACTTCTATCTAACACGCCGCCACGCGTTATACGTTCACCTATCTATGTTCTTGAAAAATACGAAAAACTGCAATTATCAAGCAAGCAAGCTGATCGAAAATTTATCACAGAAATCACAGATTGAAGCTATGTTCAATTGATATATGTATATTAAATTACATAATAAATGTATATATATAAGAAAAAAATATATAATGTTTGTTATTTTACAAGGCTAATTCTTGTCAATAAAAAAATAAGTTGTATCATAAATAGAAAAAAATATTAAATTGTTGTAATTATAAGTAATAAGATTGTTTTATTTACATATACATTATATTTAGAAATAAAAACAAATAAATAATTTATTTAAATATGAAATTAAATATTTTAATTTATTTTGAATGTATAATATGGCAACATTAATTACAATGACACTAATTAGTAATTTTTCAAACGTAAAATACCTAGTTACAAAAGAATTGAGTTGTTGAAGTAATAATTTGTTTTCTAATAAAGTATATTAAAATTATATCGACTATTGATCACGAAGTTGTGGTTTGTAATAACAGAATTAGGCGTTGTTCGTGCATTATAGAAAGTTGGCGCCAGTGAAAAACTATTGTTTACGTAAAAAATATTACTTTATTCGATTCCTAGTAAGTTATATATTAATTAAACACACAAATATAACATTATTATCAATATAGTTGAAAGAAAAATATTTTATTATAATTTGTATTTTTTTAAATATAGCTGGCCTGCGGACCTTTATAGACGCTTCGGTTGAAAGTTGAAACTATTTCTATTAACCATAAAATGTTCCAAATACATTTTGATTTTATATATTTTGAGACCAAAATTATTTAAAAGTAACGAAAAACAACAACTTAATAATAATATATTAATATTTTAAATGACAAAGTTACTATTTAATTTAAAAGTCGTAATATTAGTATAAAACTATATTATTATTATAAAAAGTAATGGACAGTCAATGAATTGGAACAGAAGTTTCGTAAGTAGGAATTATTTTGTTTTATTGATTACGAAAGTGAAGAAAATGTAGAGAAAAAGCTTAATACAAGCGAAACGGTATACTGAATACTTTGCGTTTCCAGTTTTCTATTCATCATCATCGTACATTGTAGTATTAAACGCGTCGTGTGTCGTAAAATGTGAACTTCTACTAAGCATCCAGTTTTTAATAAGTTGATGTTACTACTAAAAGAATAACTCGACGATATTTGATGATTAACACAACCAAAGACTTTTTTTTACGATTAATTCGTCAAAATTAATTATGTTTAATTTTTATTTAATGTACCTAATGTTATTGTGTAGATGGAACAATTAAATCCCGGTAAGCGAGATTTTTCCTTACTATCCGTTGTCATAGTAACGTGTGTTTGATCGTAAAACTACAAGTTTGATAGTTTAATTTATGTAATATAATAATAAAAATATTTTTCGATATCGATAGTATTGTAACGTCGATAAAATATAAATTGCCGATCCAGCGTGGTCGGTACCTCCGATACAATGGAATAATAATAAAAGCAAGTCGCTCTTATTTCACTTACAACAACGGTGTCTCAGATATTGCAAATGTTAGCAAACTTTAGAAATTCCTCGACGCGAGTCACGACTCGCGACCTATCCTACCGCGGAGAACGAAACCTTTATACTGGAACAGGTTACAACCCACGAGTATATAGCATGGTATATATATTAGAGCCATCCCGGGAGTTGATTCTGCGTGGTGTTAGGATCGTGTGCGTATTCTTAATCGTATTGAGTCGTCTCAATTGATCCGTGTCGCCGAGTTCGTTTAAAATTGACTTAGTAAATGATTAGTGAAGCGGTACTCGGCACTCGGTAGGCGCAACGCGAAGCCCTACGACATGAAACAGGGGCTGAGCTAGAGACGAACGCGTCGCCACCGTACTTACTGCGGACTTGTGTACGCCTCTCTGTCGCGCGCGGGCGGTGCGAGCGAGAGGAGAGAGCGCGGTGACGTCACGGCGCGGGGAGGGCGCGCGGCCAGTGTACGGCCGACCGCCACGACGAGCGGACGGGTGCACGATGCGTGCTCGGTGAACAAAACAATCGCGATGCTGTTCGAGAGTCCCAACGCGAAACTGTTCCCGGCTTTCAACATTCCGCCGCCCGTCAGGCTCAGGTGAGCGAGCCCTTCCTTACCCTAGCTGTACTCGTGCGCCCCGCGTCCGTGTGTCCAGTGCCAAGTGCTCCGAAGCCGTACGAACGCCGACAGTGATATTTCACCAGTTGAGTCGAGCGACACTGTGGCAGTCCCTGTCCGCTTCACGGGCCGCACGTCGATACCACTCCAGTGGTCCGTTGTTGCGTCGTGTCTGTCTGCCGAGCCTCGGGTCGTTCGACGGCTGCATTTCGTTTCGTTGCCTCCGAGCGTCAGATGTGTTCCTGTATCGATGTGGCGCTGTGAGCGTGGGCCCGGCTCGTTGTAAACACCAGCCGCCGTGTCGGTCGCCCTCCTCCAAGGGAGCGTGTTTTTGTTTTTATTGCCGGTGTTACACCACTGCCTGTGCCGGCCGCCGCCCTTGCTGCCGCTCGAAGCAACAGATATCCGATGCGTAAATGTCAAATATTGCCTCCTGGCCGCCTCTAACGACACGGCTACATGACGGATGGTTTATGAAAACGTTAATGTCTGAATATCAAAGATAGATTTCTCAGAAGCGTGCATTAAACATGTCGCCCGTTCCGGATTCCTGAGGAATTTCGTGCACTCGAGACTCTTTCGACCGTGAAAGCGACGCATAGGGTTTGTTTAATACTTAGACTTGATAGCCAGTGAGAATGTCCCGACATGTTTATTTATAATGAAGCGTAGTTGTTATTTCTCGCTCGAGTAACTCATTACTAACCATACGAACGCATACTTTTTTGCTCGGGCGAGCTGTTACGAGAATCCTTTGTATAATTATACGAAGAAAAAAAATCCTAGTTGATTTCACTAGCGATTTACCGCGATGTTCTAATTAGTTCCTCCACGGACACACGATGTTTTAATAACATTATACACGACATTACGTAATATGGGCTTTTGTTCATCCATATATCTTCAGGCTGTCCTTAGTGAGACGGTCACATTTTCAAAATACCCCAAAAGTTTGTTAAAATTCGCGCAGACAATTCTAGTTTTCTCAAACCAGAAAGTCGTCCATACAGAGCTATCTTTGTTTTTCAATCGATAGACCTATTTATAGTTCGCAGATGCAAGGACTTGTATAGTTTCACAAATCAATAAATTAAATGATTTATATCTTGCGAAACAATTGTCACTGCGTCCCAACCAGCAACCTTGGCATGATACAATAGATTTAACAAATAACAAATAATTACATCCCTTATACAAAATTATCAAGTTTCTAAAACTATAAGTATTGTGTGGAATATTTGAGTGAAAGTGAAGAATTTATCGACTGTTCGAGTGATACATTATTGTCAATATTTCTGCATCAATGAAAAAATAAACATGATTTTGCAGAATAACATTCTATCCAAAGGATGTTTACAGATGTATAGGAATTTATATTATTATCGATGAGAGATAGCTATCAAGAATCAATCAAATTAATAGTGACGGTAGATCAAAAGTCATGCTGCAGTAACCTCGGTTCTCGTAACCAAATTCTGCCTTGTGTTGGCTCGCTACCAAAACCGATCAGAACGAAGGAAGGAAACGTTTGTCGAAAACGTACAAATGTTGACTTTGGGCGATAAATATTAAATGTTTAACAGAGGCTGTACGAGACTTACTAACTTAAAACAAAAATATATTTTATTATTTGTAGACGTCTCTCAATAATCAGATCTGATTAATATTTCATTTAAATGAAACTAATATTTATATTTAAATATTTTATTATGTTTTAGTTACACATTAATTTAATTAATAATAATAATAACTTTATTGAGAAAAAACACAATGCTTACACAGTAATACATCAAGGTTGAGGTGCATTATGTTTCAACAAATTTTAAAATTTCCATTGTCTTTGGACCCCACACTAGGAGACCTGTATCGTGGGGTCCATAATATTTTCGACTTTAATAAAAACTACATCCTACTAGGTAGTATATGGAGTAGACTTCTCTAAATAGTTTTCTGTAAATCAAAATCTTCAATCAAAGCCAGTAATGTTCCAATCACACAATCAAAGCTCATTTAGTTCTCTACATCAAATCTATCGACCGTACTTTACTATGTCTGTTCTATATTTTCTGTTTTCATACGATCTATTGTTTTGCCGTTTCATAATTAAAAAGTATGGACCAATTTAATGGCTCATAACTATTTTCATGGAAATGATTATACACTTAACTTGCTCTGGCGAGATCAACTAAGAATGATGGGTTTATAACCAAAATATTGTAACAAAATCAAAATTGGAAAAGAATAGATCTTTTTCCTGTATAGATACATTTCTTATTTATATTTATAATAAAAGCATTATATTTTCTTTTCTTCAATCAATTGTCGTAAGCGAAAATTATTTAAGAAATTATATTTGTACTACAAATTACTATCATGCTATATTAATATAACTGTTTTATAACTTAAAATTACAATAAAATTTATTAACATACAAAAATTACGATAAGAAAACATTAAAAAAATCTTATTTTGAGAGTCTCAAACTTCAATGACGGTTATTTTTTATTTATTTTTTGTTTCCATCACAAAAGAAAACAAAAAACATTAGGTTAAGGCTTGCAAATAAGTAAATTCAAAATGTCGCATAATTAATTACACCAACTGAAATAGTATCAGGTACTTGTTTATTAAATACTAAGAACATTTTCTTCAGGTTATTTGACACTAAGCATGTTTCTACAAAAACGTGAAGAAATTATAAACAGTAATTAATAAGTATTTAAACTCCGCTCTCCGTCAACAGATGGCGCTGTCATTAAAACGAGATTTAACAACTTTATCGCTTCTTGCGAATCTGAAGACTTCAATTTTTTTGTCACTGTCTTATGTATAATACTGTTTTTGTTTCTCTCTACAGAAAATAAAATTATTATTGATTTTTATATAAGAAGATAATTACTGATTGCGATTAGTTTAGTTTTCGTTTAATTCGCTAACTTTCTTTCTGAGTTAATTCAAATATAAAATAAAATTAATTATTAATAATAATTTCGATCTTTTAATTTTATGAATAATAAAAAGTCAAGGTTATAGTATAGTCAAGATTTTCGTTTAAATACAAACTACTAAACTAATACAATATCTTGTGAGTGATATATAATAGTTATGCTTGTTCTATCAGTTAATTTTTTTTATTCACATTTTTACTCCGCGCTCAGTGAAATTTTGATGGGCGCCATTTTGTAAGCGTGACAGACATTCGTTTGATTTATTCAGCCACAATAACATGATTGAGACGTTAAAAAAAGGTTACATATATTATACATTAAAATTATTTTTTGTATTTATAATGTTAACTTAACATTTTTACCTGAAGCTTGTTCAAATATTCCTTTTTTACCTGACGTATTGTATACCTGACAATCCTTTAGATTCTTTCAAGCAAAATATTGTTTTAATAAATTCCATTTATACATACAAATTTATATTAATAGCAAAATTTTTGGTTTAAATTATTTTTCTTTGTAGTAATATGCATGTAGTTTTTTGTTATTATTGTAGTTCGTATCACCTGTGGAGTGCGAATAATTCGTCTTTGTCAATGCTATCGATTTTGTCAAATCTCTGTCTTCAAGGCTCTGTCAATATACTAGGTTCTCCTTAAACTATATACAATCAAAATAACTACACCCACTCCTTATAAAACTATATATATACTATGTTTATTTGTATTTTAAACATATAATATATAAATTTATACATAATGTATCTAAAAAAAGTTCATTAATGGTAAAGAATGTTGAAAGTCATCCATCTACATGTGAAGGTCGGATAAAAAAAAGCCTTTAAAAGGATATATATGGCTTAGGAATCAGCTATATATGACCATGCTACATATTACATATATATATACTATACTATATTTAACAAAGAGGGTTGATGTCAGGCAGGCGGCCGGTAGTTAAATCAATTAGCCAACACGTAAGGCAGACCCTGACTATAGCTGGGAAATTGCCAGGTAGAAGAAGAATATATACTATATATATGTAATTTTGAGTAATACGAGAGTTTAAAATAAGCCTGTAATAGTAAACATAAATAAAAAATCCATTCGACTTAACTTGAGCGGCTCGGGACATCTGCCAGCGAGTTGGCAACGTCGCATAATATATTATGTAACTTTTAATAAAACTAAAACAATTATTTAATATTGAAAGAAAATTATTATAAATCTTATTGTTTTAAATATTATTTAGCCTTTTTTTTTCAAAGAAACAGGCCAAGGTCTTGTAGAGTGAGATAGCTGATTACGTTTTTAATGCTTTTGTGCCAAGAAAGCTTTGTGTAATAAAGATTTCGTTTAATTTGAGATTTATTTATTGAGAGCAAATTAAAATATTTACTTAATAAGCATATATTGTAAACAAAATATGAGTAGGATGATGCTTCCATAACTTGATTACTGTAACGTTTTTTATTAAAAATGACAATATCTGAACTTTTTGATACTTATTTTTTTAAATAAATAACATTAAAAATTGTTTTACGTGATAAAATCTTAATCGTGTTAACTTATAGTATATCCTTACCACGGGTTCAACCGTCACTAAATACGCAGGCTTTACAGTTTTTCGACAGTATTGAGAAGATGTAGATAGTTAAATTAGGAATTAAATCCAACCATGCAAAAATAATCTACTTATAATAATTTGAGAACACGTTATTTTTAATATTAAAACTGTAAGAAATGGCCTATTAATAAAAAATATTAGTTATATACTAAAATACTCATAATAATTCTAGTATTTCTGACGATAAAATTAAAATCTTTCATCATTGAAAAGAATTGAATTAAAAAATCTGTCGACTTATTCTCTATTCGTAGTTTTTACCCCATAATCGTATAATTGTTATGGGTTACGTCTGTGGACGTACAAGTTCCGAAGTGTGAAATAACTGACCTAAATCAAGTAATACAATTCTTATATACTGAAAGACAAACGAACACTGAAAACGTTACTAGTATAATTTTAATCTATTTTATACTTATCTATATGATCTTTTACCTGGCAATTTCCCAGCTTTAGCCAGGGTCTGCCTTACATGTAATAGTTTTGGCTAATTGTTTTTACGGCCGCCTGACATCAACCCTATTTGGGAAGATACTTATCTATCTTCTATATATATAAAAATGGATTGCTGTTCCTTAGTCTCACTAAAACTCGAGAACGACTGAACGGATTTATCTTATCATAGTCTTGAAATGTTCGTGGAGGTTCAGGGAAGGTATAAAAGCTGAAAAATTTTTATTAATTTCCGGGAAAACCCTAAAAACAGCGCTTTTTTATTACCCATACAAACGATTTTTTGACATTAGATTTGACAACTAACTAATATGTCAATCATTCTGTAACACTTCAGAACACGGAGATTTATGGCTTAAAGGTAAACACTAAAAAAATAAATAAGACATAATTTATTTCTTGAGGCAGTACGAAGTCTGCCGGGACAGCTAGTCTATATGATAAATGTAATAACAAATGTTCTTGGTTCTTGTCAATAGACTGTTTGCCCAAACGTCAGGTAATCTAAGTATTCTCGTGTTCCTGAGCTAAGACCTGCGTCTGTCTCCCTCATGACCTACTTCAAGCATTACATTGTGATGCAGATTTCATTCTCGTCCGAGCTATGAATATTAAACTTACTTTTATACTGATTATTATTAAAACCGCGTTATTAATGCTGAAACAATTTTTATGAAAATTTTGTATATTTATAG